GAATTAACAGAAGCTTAATAAAAATTATAATAAAATTAATATATTTCATAACAACAAAAATAAGAATGCTAATAATGTGAATATTATAGAAATCAAAATGAATAATTGAAGTAAATGATCAATTAAGATTAAATCTCATAAGAATAAAATAGAATAAATAATTAAATTGTATTATATTTAACATTATCAATAGAATTAACAATAGTAATAGTAAATGAAAGAATACTAAAATAGACTTATGGAATTGGAGTATGAAAATTAAAATTTAAAGTTATAGATCTAATTACCTGAATCTATAAGTAATTTAAAAAATCATGATTGTCTCAACATTAAATCTATTATTAATCATCCTTTATACATAAAGATGACAAAATTGGTTGAGCAATTGACTAATCAAACCTAATAAGAATTATTTAGAAAATCATTACATGAGCTAGGATTAGAAATTGAAAAACGAGAAAATAAAGAATAATAATTATAGGAGTGTAGAACTATGTATGATAGATTATTAATTAAATATTATGCATTACAAAAGAGTATAAATAAAATCGAAGAGAATTCTAATAATAATAATAATAATAATAATAATAATAATAATAATAATAACAATAATAATAATAATAATTACTATGCAACTTAATAAATTACATCATCAAAATAATAAACTTAATAAAAGAAGACAAATTAGTTAGATTCCTTTTTATAAGAATAGGAAACAACTAAATAAATGAAATAATCAATATTTTCTAATACACCAAAATAGAGAGTCAATAATAAACTAAATTTAAGTTTAGATAGTTGTTAATTTAAAAAATGATATTTATTTATAACTAATATTCATATTATTTGTTTTTTCCAAATATTTTAACGAATAATTATTTAATTTTAATATATGCAATATTGTTAGATTCACAATCCTCAATTCTAATAAACCTAATTTCAATAAACTTCATAATAACAATAATAATAAATGTTACCTTAACATATTATTCTAATAAATAAATATAAAAACAAAAAAAAAGCTTACAAAGGTATCATCATAATATTTGATCGTAGAGTCTTTAAATGATTTAAGAAATGAAATGAAAGTAATTTTAGATAAATAATTACATTAAGAGTAAGAATTAACTCAATTAAAAACCTTATATCATTTAGATAAAGAGTAATGGTTATAAGAAAAGAAGATCTTGAATTCAATATTACCAAAAAAAGATTTCAATTTAGATGGATTATAAAAAGAAAAGAAATCATATAAGGAAAAAAAATAAATACTTAAAAATTAATTATAACAATATAAATAGTATTTCGAAATTTAAGAAGGGAAATTATAGGAAATTTTACTTGAAAACTCAAAATTAAAAGCAATATTAAATGGAAGAGATTAAGAATGTTTAGCTTTATAATAAGAAGTTGAATACTATTAAAAGAGATTAATTTAATTATAAAGTAAGTGATGATAAGAATATTTAATTATTTATAACATCATTTTTATTATTTGTTTTAAAATAATCGTTACAATTTTTCTTCAATATCCTTATCTAACATTAAATTATTTTTCATTTGATTAATCTCTACTATTTACACTTATGCTTATGCTTATTATGATTGATCCTCTTCTATTTCTGTTTCCAATCTTATATCATCAATTAATTGAACATTATCAGTAAATATAATCATATCATCTTATTATTCCCTTCTGATCCATGGAGCTTCAGGTTTATTTTCAACAGACAAAGGCTAATATATGATTATAATGAAATACTCCAATATTTTAAATTAACTATTTATCAAATACAATTGATAATGATGGAGGAGATAACTTTGGCAAACTAAAAGATAATCTAATTTTTAATCCATCAATAAATATGATAGGCACTTAGAAGCAAATAATATTTTCTTTTGGTTCATCATATAAACAAATCACTCTTTAATAATCAATAGGATGTTAATTCTTTATTAATATTTATTCAATATGCATTAATAGAACTTATAAACCTTCCTATTTAGCTTCATTTATATTTTCAATCAATTATTTACATTTCTCTTTAGCTTTTTTAAATTATTTTAAAATAACTAAGCAAATTAATTCATTAAATTTGATCTCTAAAATTTCTAATAAGTCAGCATCCTCCTCATCTTCTGTAAGTTCAAATTATTCATCATCATTAAATAAATCTGTTTAGCTTCCTCTTTATCTTAATCTTTTTTCAGTTATCGAAAGTTCCTTTTAACTTTTGGCCATTTAAAAGTCCTTTAATGCTTCTTCATATTTTTCTTAATGAAATAAAAATACTCCTCTAAATATATAAACATGGAATTATTAAAATATCCTCCCCTTTCCTCTAGTTAATTAAGTTAAATTATTAACAGCCTTATTTAAATTAGTTTTAAATTCAATTTATTCAGTTTCACTTTCTTCATTAAAATAAATTTATTAATCATCTTTAAAGACTAATCTCAAAGCTGATAAAATATCTTTATCAAATTCAGCAGTTTAATCTTTACTCAATTTATAAAGTCTATTGATATCTTCTTAACAAAGTCTTAAGTCACTTAAAATCAAATAGCATTCTGATCTTAATTGTAATAATTTTGGATTATTTTTAATATCTTTATTATTAGAATATGCTTTAATTGCATCTTCTATAGCAGAATTTGCAAATAAGAAATTACCAGCCCAAACATGCATTCTTGGATCATCTTATAATATATGAATACATTATTATAAATCTTAAAAAGCAGAATTTGAATCTCCACTTAAAAAATGACATTTAGCTCTATTTAAATATGCATCAGCAAAAGTTTCATCTAATGTTAAACATATACTAAAATCATTTATAGAATGTTAATATTCTTTTAGAATTCCATATACCATTCCTCTAAAATAAAAATATTTAGCAACATTATCTTCTGACTTTTGAATAGCATTTTCAATATCTCCCAAAGCTTCATTAATTTATCCCATAAAACATTTTACTATAGATCTAACATAATATAAATTAGCATTTTAATCATTTAAATTTTGTGCCTTATCTAACAATTCTAATCCCTTAATAAGATCTTTATATTAATCACTTTTTTTTTTAAATGATTAATTTATTAATGTTACACCTTAATAAAAAGTAGGTTCCATTTTTTTTTAGAATATCTTTTAGGCTCTTTAAAAGAATTCCATTCCAGCATTAAATTAACCAGCTTAAATTTTTAAGATTCCCTCACATAAAAATCTATTATAATGAACACTAGGTTCTGCTGGTTAAATATCTAATAAATATTTATAATCTTCCAAAGCTTTTTAATGTTTAGACATACAAAATTAACCATAAGCTCTATAAGCATAAAACAAAGGTTTAAGAAAATCATTTAATTAATGATGATTTTAAATTTCTTGAAAATTGTTTAAACTCTCTTGAAATTTTCTCTTCATTAAATGTATTACAGCCTATAATTAATCTTATTAGATAAAATACTTCAGTAAATAATTAAAATTTTTATAAGTAACTTTTTTCAGTATCTAAAAGTGATGATCTATTTAAAGTATGAAATGCAGCATAAAAATCTCTTTATTCAATTTTCATCTTTGCAATTTCATATAGAGATTTAGTTACAGCTTTTTTAGAATTATTATGTTTGATAGCTTACTCGAAACATAATAAGGCTTCAGTTGTATTCTCTAGAATTTATATTTAAAGTACTTGTTTTTAGTCTACATAATCCTTTAAAATAATAAGCCTCAGAATTAATTGGATCAGTTTCTATTAATTTACTTAAATCTTTAGCACATTCATCATATTATTAACTTTCATAAAGTGTTATAGCTTTTTTTAGTAAAGCAGCATTACCAACAGCTTATTCACAATTTATAGCTTTTTAATAATATGATATAGCTTCTTTATATTAATTTTATATTCTTAAACAATCAGCTTTTCCCAAATATCCTAATCCTTTTTGAGGACTTAATTGAATAGCCATATTAAAATCAGATTCTGCTTTTTCAATTTAATTAAGTTTTGTATACAATTTACCTCTATAAATGAAGGCATCATAATATCTTGAAAATAATTATATGACTTTATTTAGAATTGAAATTGCTGAATCCAATTCGTTAAGTTTTTTATGAGAAATTGCTAATAATAAATAAATATTCTTTCTATGTGTAGCATCCTATTAAACTACATATTAAAATTCTGTAATTGCTTTTTAATATAGTTATTATCCAAGATAACCAATACCCAAAAAATAATGTCCTTCCAATATTCTGATATCACATTCTATACATTTTTTTAATTGTCTAATATTATTTAATTTAATACTCAATAGCCTCTTCAATTTGCTTTTCTCTTAATAATTATTTTCCCTTTTCTAAGAACTTAATAGCTCTAGGGTTATAATCATCTAAAGGTTTAGTTGTATCACTCTAAAACCCACTATGATCTTAATAACCTTTAATGAGATTGTTCTCAAAACTCAAATCAACTGTTTGCTATCCATCCATACTATTATTATTGATTTTTGATTATTTCTTTTGCATTGTTTAAGAGAGTTTCTGTTGATTAGGAAAGTACCAATTTTGTATTTAATTATTGATTGAATTTTACTTCTTCCTATCATGATAATAAACTTCTACGTGACTTTGCAAAAACTATCATTACGTCTTGTATTATTGAACAAAATATTAAACAATTAATTTTGAGCCTTCTTTTCTTGACTAAAATTAGAATTCTGCCTCTTTTTATGATGTTATTCTAAATTTTCACCACTTGAAATATTAAAAGAATTTTATCTTGTTGCATAAGGTTGAGATTATTTTTTATAATGTGGTGTTGGATTTTCAGACACAAAGGGTTCAACATGTGACTTTGTAGGTGAAAAAGGTTATTTTGGAAAGAATGATCCCACTTTGTTTTTAACTGTTTGTGGAGGCTTTTTAGCACTATATTACATAAATTTTGAATTTTTAATATAATCCCATAAGTATTTTATTAATTTATTAACTGATAATGATATTTAGTGGATCACTTAGAACTACAACTCCAGAATAAAAGTCTTAAATACGTACTAAAAAACATTTTGAAGTCAAGCAAGATTTAGAAGAATAATTATAATCTCTCAAATATTTAAACAATTAGAAAATCATTTAATGTATTAAAACGAAAAAACATATTTAACCAATTTACAAAGATGATAATATCAATACAAGCAGGTTGAGAAGATCAGCTTCTCCTTTATTAAATAGTTAATTAGATAGAAATTTAGTGCCTAAAATTGATAATACTCCTAAAACACCTTAAAAATCAAGACTTTATTCTAAGGTATTTAATAATTCATGTTCATTTGAAAATATTTGTTTAAAATAATGTCTTAATTGTAAATCAAACAATAAAGAGAATATGCGTATATAACCATCTCCAATTAAGATGACCCAATCTGTTTTAAAAATAGAACCTTTAACTTGTCTTACAAGTAAAGGGAACTATTTTAAAAAATGAAATATATATATTATATACTAAAAGTTAATTTTATTCATAATGCTTTAAAGGTTAAATTAAATAATAAATAATTTATATATTATGTTTAAATAGAGAATAGATATATATTCATTTATATTAAATAATCATATAGTAAAATGAATACTTAAAATAATTAAGAATTGCAAGGTTTATTCTACTTTTTTGATTATAATTAAAAAAAATAAAATTGATCATAAATTTACATGTGTTTAACCATCAATTAAATTTTATTCCTTAATTTTTTATCAATTTGTTAAAATATTCTTAATTACAGGATGACTGACGTTCCACAGATTTATTATTTTAAGCTATAGATAATCTATTAAGACTTGGTTAGTTTCTTTTGAATTTAATTAATTTTTTAAAATCTGCATTTTTTTGTAAGATTGCTGTCATCCTAAAACTTTTTGATACTCTATTAAGTAAAGTTAATAACATAGTCAATGTTTCATCTTCACTTAATAATTCAGGATCAAATGTTTTATTTTTTAAAGATTAAGAATCAGATTAAAATGTTTCATTCTTTGGAGAAAATAAAGTGAATGTAGCTCTAGTTTTATTGATTTCAGATTCAAGATTTTATATTTTGGATTTTAATTCAGTAATAGATTCTGACTCTTTTTAATGACATAATTTATTGAATTTTTTTTTATACTCGTTTTCTAGTGACAAATTTTCTATAATCTATTGTTATTGAATATTAATTGTATGTAATTATTAAATAGTTTAAGCATTCATTTATAATTAGAGATTCTTTTCCTAAATTTCATTTGTTAAATGGTTTGTCTGTTTATTTAAAAGTGCTATTTAATTTATTTAAGATTCGATTTCCTATCTTTAATGTTCAACTTACTATTATAATTAAGAAATTTAATGAAGTAGATTCTTTTATTATGTATTCTTATTAATCTTCTCTTTATTTATGATTTCTTGAGGATCAAATTAATTAAAAGCATTCAGGTATAAATTTGCTCTTGGTTAGATAGCAGTTTATTCTTGGTTTTGGGTCTTTTTCAAGATTTTCATGACTTAATCTTTTGTTAAGGAACTCTCTTTTTTGGTCTATCTTGCTGATTGTTAAGATAGCGAAGATACTGTAATATCTGGGACTGGAATACAATCTATAGCTTTGATCAAATCGCGATTCGACTATTGAGAGTATAAGCGATTGTTACTGTTATATATTCATCCATTGTTAAATTATTTTAAATTTAATATGCTTAACGAAAAAGTCATAGGAGAATATGTTTATTTAGTATCTGATGAATGCAAAGTAGGAGTTGGTTAATTCAGTCATGTTTATAAAGGATATCATGAGAAGACTAAGAAACTAGTGGCAATTAAGCAGATTGACAAAAAACAAACTAAAGGTATTTTTGAATAGATGCTTCGAAATGAAATCAGTATACTTAAACAATTAGATCATTAATATATACTAAAGATGGATGCATATTATGAAACACCAAACAATTATTATATAATAACAGAATTTTGTGAAACAGGTAAACTATTTATCAATAAAACAATAGACATTCTATAAATAATAAAATAAAAAGGTTCATTGCCTGAAAATACAGTAATTAATTATGTAATACAAATTAGTGAAGCATTGAAGTACTTAAATTCAAAAAGTAAACTATGTATTCTTAATTATAGAAATTGTTCATAGAGATATTAAACCATCTAATATCCTAATCCATGAAGGTGAAGTGAGATTGGCTGATTTTGGATTTGCAATTCATTAAGACAAAGTTGGAATTGAAGATAGACAATTTTAGATTGGATCTCCATTATATATGTCTCCAGAAACATTAATAAAAAATGAATACAATCATAGAACAGATCTATGGTCTTTAGGTGTTTTATTTTTTGAAATGATTTTTGGTATCTACTATATTTATTATAAAGGTGTTGTTCCTTTCTACTCTACTGAAATGGATGATTTAATCAGAAAATTACAACAATATCAAAAGGATTATAGATTAATATTCAAATATCCAATCTCTGAAGCCTCGACAGATGCTATATAGAATTTATTAGCATTCAATCCAGAACATAGGTGTGATATTAAAAAATTACAAATAATACTTAAAAATCATGATAAAAATAGAGTATTTGGAGATGCTAGTATGCATTTATAAAAACGAACTGCCACTCCTGATAAAAAAAGGAAAGTTACACCTGATTAAAGTCCAGAAAATAGAAGCAAAGTATAATTAGCAAAAAAGGAATTAGTAAAAGTTAGTTGTCCTGCTTAATTTTTTGATAAAAAATCTACCTATTTTGCTAAAAATAAACCAAATAAAGAAGGTGATTAATAAAATTCAAAGAGAGAGGAAAATCTAGGAACAGATAGAAAAGATAATGGAACAGCTTAAGAAATCTCAATTATTAGATTACATGATTAAAAACCATAAAATAATGAAATCACCCAAGAGAACATGAATAATGAAGAGTTCTTAGCCTTTCTCATTAAAAAATTAGAATCTGCAAAAACATAGGATACGAATTAAAATAAATAAATTAACGAGTGTTAATTTTTGTTAGTATAAATTTTTTACATATAAGTATCAATACTATGGGAAAGATCAAAATATGCTCTAAAGCTTGAAAAATAAGGAAATGCCTAGTTGAATATATAAACTGTTCATTGAAACGTATTTCTATATTTAATAGATAAAATTTTAATTATTAATCTAATTTATTATAGATAATAGATTCTAGATTTAGTTGTTTTATTTAAATCAAATAAAAATAGAGTAAGAATCTTAAGCTAAATTTATTTTAAAAATTCACACATAGTTTTTTAAAATTTAATAAAAATATAGCTTTGTTTAAAATAATAATTCACTTATTCATTCTACTAATGATAACTCAAAAAGGATTTATGAAAGCAAAGGTGTAACTGTTTCATCAGATGCAGCAACCAAAAATAATTCCCTCAAATTAAAATTAAAATATTTACTTTTCAAAAATAAGCAAATATTATTTTGCAGCAGGAGCTTATGATATATTATTGAGAGTGATAGCTGCTAATTTAACATGTTTTTCATTGATTTTATCCTGATTATTTCTTTACTCTTATTATTTTAGAGAATTTATTTTAATTTATCCAATACTCAATATGGCAACTAGTCTTTATAATATTTTAGGATGTTTAGCTATGGATAATCTTGTTGTCATTTTTAAATCACTTAAGTAACAGAAAAACTCTAAAACTATTTCTCTTAATTCTTAATTTTGATATATTAATAATCTTGCTAATTAATCTATATATTCTCCTATAGCTCCTTCAATAATTGCTTCATTATCAGATATAGATATCATATTTCTAAAAGTTTCAGTTACTAAACCTATATCTTCGTATGATTCACCATTTAGTATTTCTATTAATTTTTACATAAATGCATCCATATAGACTGATTATTTTAGATGTATATGTTTGGATAAGATTGAGAATATTTCTAATGTTGATTTAGATAATTCTTAATCTGCTCCAGACAAAAGAATTTAATAAAAAAAGGATAATAATTTATCTTGTTTCATAAAACAAGTTTCATTAGATCTAATCATAACCAAATTTCTCAAAGTTACAAATAAAGTTCTCAATTTTTCCAAATGTTTACATTCTGCTTTTTTTTCATAATTCCCTTAAATTAAATCAATATATTTTTTCTTATAGATTAATTCACTAGGTTTCACCATTTCAGTCATTTGATCATTCATAATAAATGATATATGAGAATTATAATTTTCTTATACATTCTGATTTTTAATTAAATCAGTTTGAACTTGCATTGATTTTCTTTATGATTATCCTAAATTCTCTAATTATTGTTATCCTACTGTTTAAAGACAAGTTTTAAAAGAGTAAGATTTATTTAGGTAACTAATTTATTTAATAGTATCTTCAATATAAGAAGTAATAGTATCAAGTAATTATGGATATTAATCAATGAGAAAACTTTGCTAAAATAATTAATATTAATAGTAATACTGAATAATTACAAGAATACATTAATAAATTATTAATGGCAAATGTAAGTTCATCATCAATTCTACTTTCAAAAGCAAGCATAATTCTTTTAACTTCACTTGCTTATGCTTATATTTTTGATTTCTTAATAAAAAATATTGTTTCTGATTTTTCTACTTTTTAATAATTTTAATTCAAAAGTGTACTAAGAGGTTATCCACTAAATTCTAATTAATGTTATCTATCTTCTGCTTCTACACTTTTTAATAGATATTATTATTACGCATAACTAGCTTATTAAACTTCTTCTTCAAAACCTATTTTAGCTTTCTTTCTATTTGAGCTCATTTCTTCATCATATATATAGCCATCTTCTTTTCCAAAGAAATATTTTTATTCATATGCCAATAACAATTTTTAATAATGATTTCTTAGAGTAAATGAGGCTGATGTACATGTAGCTGGAAAAGAGAATTGATCTACTATTTCCTTTTCAGATCAAAATTAAATTTTACTTTCCATAATTTATTGGCTGATACAACTTTTAAACCTCCTCTTTTTGTGACTGCTTTATATAGTTTAAAAACTTCCAATTCTCTACCACCAATTTAAGGTATTTTAATAGTTACACCTCTTTATTCCCAAAATTTTTGTAATTATTATATAAATACTTTCTCTTCTTCCCTCTCTTCCATTTATTATTATATATATTTTATATAAAAAATATATAAATAAAAAATTTATTGTAAACATCTCTCAAAATACATAAATCAATTTCATTGCTGTTTACTTTACTATTTAGTGTTTTAAAATAATCATGTTTAAGAAATGTAAACAATAATACTAAATAAATACATATTAATTTTAACCGAAAAATAAATAACCAAAAAAATATGAAAAGTATACAACAACCAATTCAAGTCTCATTAGTTAATAGATAATTCTCTCTTCAAAAAGATATAGGAAATTTTACAATGTAATCTCCAGATAAATAAATCTATTGTCCTAAAACATCATCATAAGCTAAAATATTAACATATGGCCATTCTCCTTATATGTAATCACCCCTGTTTGATGGAAAATGCATAAACTAAAATAATATTAAAATTTAACCATCTCCACCTTAAAAATTAGACATTTCCTCTTAATAAAAACTTAATACAAAAACTTTGAGTCAAAATTATGATGTACTTAAACCATATAATCAACAAGAAACAATCAAAACATAAAATGATATGAAACCACATTATGGAACATGTAAATAGGAAAATCATAAAACACATGCAAACTTTTAATGTGAAATCAATAAAGATACTACAACAGATAGAAAAAGTAATACGTTTAAAAAAAATGAAACATTTTTAGAAAGTAAAGAAAATTATGGATTAACTACAAAATCTCCAATTATAGATCATCATAATACTGTAGGAAATAGTAGGTTATCATCTTAAAATTTTGGACTTTTATAATAGAAACCAAAAATATCAACAGAAATAACAAAGATTTCTGGATAATTAAGAGATTTGATGTCAAATGTTTAAAGATTTGTTAATAATGGTAAAATACCAGATATTATAAATGATAAAATGATTGAGATATTAACTACATTTAGAAAAGTTGAAGAATTATCTAATGTTGAGCCTAATGAAAATGAATCAAAAACATTAAATATGGCAGAAGATTATAATAGACTTAAGACTATACTTGAATAATTATAAATAAAAATGACTGCTTTGGTCTAAGAGAATTAAAAAGTATTTAAATATTATTAATTTCATAGTTAAATAAAAATTTGATTTAACAAGAATAAAAAGTAAATGAAGAATAAAATAAAAGATTATAAGCTGAAGAAAAAGCAAATTAAACAAATAAAGAATTCAATAGAGTATTTGAATGTTTACAAATAAATTAAAAAGAGAATGAAGAACTCAAGATGAAATTATAATAAAAAGATTCTGTTAATAGTTTAAAGATTCATCAAAACAACATTACTAATGATGATATACAGGATTATAAACAAAGATATTTATAATTAAAAAAAGATTATGAATAATTAGAAAGTAAATATAAGTAGTTATTGTCTGAAAAAGCAAATTTAAAAGAATTACCTAAATCTCCTTTAATAATGAAATCAATTCATTCAAGTACTTCAAAATAATAAGAATAATTAGAACTTAAATTATTATAATTATAAATTGAAAATGATAATTTAAAAGCTGATATGGCTCATAATTAAGTTGATTCTAAGGCTATTGATAACAAAAATGAAATGATCTAAAAGTTAGAAGAAAAAATTAAATCTATTTTAAAAGAAAAAGCAATTTTTGAAGAATAATAAAATTAGATTTATCATAATTTAGAAATCTTAAATGAATAATTAAAAAATGCATTATTAGTTAAGGAAAATGAGATTTCTACTTAATTAAAATAAAGAAATGAAATAGAAAGAGAATTAAAAGGATAAATTAATAATCATATTCAATAATTAAAAGTATTGGAGGATAAATTATAAGTCTCAAAATAAGATTATTAAAAATTGCTAGATGAATTTAAATCTATGGATATAAGAAAGAATAAAATATAAGAAGAATATAAAATAAATGAGAAAAAGCTAGAAAAATTAAATTAAGAGATTTAGTTTTAAAATTAAGAATTAAAAAAAACTATTGAGAATAATAAAACTTTAAATATAAAAAATGATTAAATGAATCAATAATTGTAATAATAAAATAAATTACAATAATAATTACTTTCATAAATTGAAGGGTAAAAATAAACTGAAAATGCTTTAAGGATGGAATGTGATAGATTAAATAAAATGAATTAAACAATTCAATAAGATATGAAATATCAAGTAACAGAATTAAATGAGATGATTTAATTATAAGGAAGAAGAACTCAAGAGAAAGAAAATTAATTAAATGAGTTACTTGAAGAAATGAGAGATATGAAAGATTAATATGAAATATAAAAGAAAGTTTGTTAAGAGAGCATTAATGATTTAGAAAGAAGATTAAATAATTCAAAATTATAAAATGAAGAACTATTATAAGTAAAAGAATAAGAGATTATAGACTATAAATTAATAATGGAATAATAATTATAAATGCTTGATAAAAGAAATGCATTATCATCTTATGATTTTGATTAAAGGGAATAATAATTTTAAGTTGAAATTCAAAGTAAAAATGAGTAATTAGATGTATTAAAGTAAGAATTAGAAAAAATAAGAAGCTAAAACTTTAATACATAAGAAGAATTATTAAGAATTGGAATTTAATAAAACCAAAATTAAGCTATTATAAGTAATTTGAGAAATGAATTAAATTAATCAAAATAAGAATAATAACACTTAATTGAAATGTTGAAGAAGAGAAAGGAAGAAGTAGAATAATTACATTTTAGTTTAGAAGAAATGAGAAAAGAATAATAAAATAAGAAGTAACAATAAGATGATAATAGAAGTAATTAATTATATTAATTTATATAGGATCTATATTGAGATAGTAAGATCTTCAAATTACAATTGAAAATCTTTAAAAAGATAATTTAAATCTTTAGTAAAAATTAAATACATTATAAAATGAATATAATAGAAAATAAAGGGAATTAAATGAGAAAAATGATGAATTTTAAAATATTAAAAGAAAATATGATGAAACAGTTTAGAATTTAGAGAGATTAGAAAAAAGATGGGGTGAAAAAATTGATTAACATAGAAGAATTTGAATTATATTAGTTATAATTATTATATATCAAATTTCTAATTTTTCAAATAATTCTTAATTATAAATTTGATTCCATGATGCTGGAAATGATTAATTTTGCAAATATGATAAAATAATTTTTAATTATGTTTTTAATTTATTTGTATTGTTTGTTTTAATTCCAAATTATTCAGATAATTTCTTAAGATTTGTTATATCATTTAAATCATCAAAATTCTATAATATATCTGATTTATAACTAAAATATTCAAATAGTTCTTTTTTAACTTTGATTTAATTTTCTTGTTTTTCTGGTATGTATTCTTAGTAGTCATTTAATTGATAAAATATTTCTTAGTTTGTAATTGACTCTTCTTGGATAGGTTCATTGGGCATTTTAAAAACCATATGGGGTATGTCTGGTTAATCACTATATTAGTAAAATGTATTGAACTTAATTGATAATTCTCGTAATTTGTCTTCAATTAATTATTTTTTTCTTTCAAATTCGGCAATTTACTTAGAAAGATGGGTGTGTTCATTTCTCAATTGTTATACAAGTTCTTAAGAGTCCTTAACTGAAAGTATATAATTTTCTCCTTGTTTTTTGTATTTAAATAATTTTGAAGACATTATTAAAAAATAAATGCTTTAAGCTAATCTGAATTTTTAAGAACTTACATTAGAAAAGGATGATGATTAATTATTTTAGGATTTAAATTAAGTTAATTCTTAAAATTTGGAAGATGATATTGAACAATCAGATGATACAGATGATGACTTTTTAGATTGTTTTAGATGTAATTAACTATTAAATATGAATAGATTCGGTGATTATTTCACCATTTCGATAGTAAATGAAACCTTAAACTTTGTAGCCACAATTTAATTAAGATTACTAAATAAATCCTTTATGCATAAAAGATGATTTAAGAACAACTTTAATGTTAAAGAATATACCTCTTGAGTATAGTTTAAAGGATTTGATTATTGAAATAAATGCTTTTGTTAAAGGAAAGTATAACTATTTATATATGCCATATGATTAGATTGTAAACTTTATTATTCTAATTAAGAAAAATTGTAATATAGGTTATGCTTTCATAAACTTAATTACAACTAATGATGTTGAATATTTCTATAAAAAATTTGATTAGAAGAAATGGTAATTAAATCCAGATAAAATATGCACTCTTCGTTATGCAAAGAAATAATTAAATAATTATTGATAACTTATTTAATATAATATTTTTTATTTATTAATCATAAGACTTATACTTATTTATGTTGCATATGAATTAAACAAAATGAAATCAAAAAGTTATTATTTAAAAATTTAATTAACTACTAAATGGAAAAAGAATAAACATTTGTGTTAATCAAACCTGATGGTGTTTAGAGAAGAATCATAGGAAGAATAATATAGAGATTTGAAGATAAAGGATTTTCTATGGTTGCCATGAAGATGTTAATACCAAATTAAGAATTATTATAAAAACATTATGAAGAATTAATGTTCAAACCTTTCTTTCCTTGTTTGATCTGTTATATGTTATCAGGACCAGTAATTGCTATGATTTGGTAAGGAAAAGATGGTATTATATAATTTAAATTAATTAGTTGTTAGATAAATACGTTCTATGCTTGGAGAAGGTAGAAATCCTATTGAATAGAAACCAGGAACAATTAGAGCTGATTATGCACTTGAATTATAAAGAAATTTAATTCATGGAAGTGATTCATGTGAGTCTGCTTAAAAAGAGATCAATTTATGGTTTAATTAAAAGGAAATTGTGGATTGGAAACCTTCTGATTTAAATTGGGTATGTGAATGATTACTTTAAAAACTTTCATTTTTAATTTTATCATAAATGCAAAAATCTTAACTGATTAGAGTATTGAGTGATTCAAATAAATCCTTAAATCCTTTCTCTATGTCTAGATAATTAAGTCAAGAAACACCAACAAATTAAGGAAATACTAATTAATATTAAACAACTGACAAAGAAATTGTTCGTTTGACTAGATTAGTTGGTTCATTAAAAAAAGAAAATGAATCATTATAAATAAAAATAAAGTAATTGGAAGAGATAGATTATAAAACTAAAATTTGTGCTTTAGAATAAAAAAATAAATAGTTAGAATCTTAAATAGAAACTTTTAAAAAATTACCTATAGATTAAATAAAAACATTAATAGAAGATAATGAAAGATTAACAAGTATTGTTGAGAATTAATCAAATAAAATTAAATCACTTTTAACTTAAATTGATGATTTAAAAGACTCTTCATTTCATAATGAAGGAAAAAATGAAATTATTATTTCAATGATATAAGTAAATTATCCTATATATATAATATAGGAACTTGAAAATTAGAAATTATATGTTTAAGATGAATACAAGAGGTATTAAATAATGAATAAGGAAAAATAAACTCTTTATATTGAATTATAAATGGCAAAACAATAAATTAAGGATCTTAATTAAACAATTGAAAAAATCAAAATGATTAATTTGGAGAGTAGTGAACCATGTGATATACTTCATTAGGATTATTTAAAAAGTCATGAAGCAGTATTAAATTTCGTTAAAAATTAATATTGATTTATCATAATTAAAGATCATATATTACAATTATTATTATTTATTAAAATAATATGAGTAAAGTTTCTAGGTTTAGTAATATAAAGAATGAGATGGAGAAATAATAACATTTGGATAATATCAACTAGAAATCCAAAAAATAATAAGTTGTTTTCAATAATCCTTTTTTTAAATAATAAGATGATTAAGATGAATAAGAGAATTTGATAGAGACCAAAATTTAATAATTATAAGATGTATAAGTAGTGATTCCTAAAGATCTTAATTTATAAATACAACATAAAGTTAAAAGTCATATTATTGATCATAAATTAAAAAACAATTATGATTATGTTAGATTAAAATATATTATTCGTATTTGGAGAGAACAATCTATAAAATTGAAAATATCAGAAGAATAAGTCAAATAATAATTATTTAAAGCAGCTAAAGAAAATATGATTGATGATATGATTAAAAATTAAAAATATGAAAAGCTGAGATAATAATAAGAATAAGAAAAAATTATCGAAGCTTAAGAAGATGAAAAATCTTAAATGTTAGAATTAGAAGAAAGAGTAAAATAAAAAAAATAAACAGGAACAGCTAAACCTGAATAATAAATGGCTGCTCAAAGTCAAGTAGATTCTTTTGAATAAAAGAATGATTTATTCAAAATGCCAGATTAAGACTTAATATAATATATTCCATATTGCACAGACATTTATTTAGGTAAAGATTGAATCTTTTATTTACTAAAATACAATATTTATTAATGCTTTATTAATTGATTATATTTTTATGTTGCAAACCAATTCCAATAAGCTTAATAATTTAGAGAAACTTATCAAACTTCTCTCAAAATCAAATAGAGATTTTAATGAAAATGAAATCATTCTCTAAATATTATTATCATATCAATATTTTAAATATTTTTATGATATCCTTATTCAACAATTACCTTTAGATCGCATTATATTAGTATTGCTTTTGTAAATAATTAGATGATGGATTCATTAAAATTAGAAACTTTTAAGGAGAATTCTCTTATTTTTTAAGAAAAGGATCCATCAAATTCCAAAATATACCTTATCCTGTCTGGTTCAGTCTATTTATTAAGAAATAAACCTTTGCAATAATTTTATTTTAATTCTACAAAGTACTAATAACTCTATTAAAGTTCAAACTTTTATAATAAATATGGTTATATAGTTAGGGAATTGAGATGTGGAGATGGTTTTGGTGATAAAAGTTTCTTGACAAATTAACCAAGATCCTTATCAGCAATATCAATTGAAAAATTACAATTATTGATATTTGATAATTCGTTTTTAAAAGGATTTGAGTCTGCAATAAATTAATCATAACTTAAAGCTAAATCATTAATCTTTAATTTTTTTCCATCTGTAATATATTTATGCAAGCTTAGATTAAATCAAGTTATTCTAATGCCAGACTTGAGTCTATATTTTATAGTTTTTAAGTAAAAATAATTTAGATCTTTTAAATAGTACATTTATTTAGCACGTGATGAAATATTATTTGAAGAAGGTAATAATGGAAATGAAATTTACATATTATAATAAGGAAATTGTATGATTCAAAAAAGGTTTCAAAATGAAAATATTTCAATTACAATTTAAGATAATAATTGTTTATTTGGAGAAGAGATATTTTTTTGTTAAAAATATGATTATACTATTAAAGTCTAATCTATTTAAGCATGTTTTTTAAAAATCAAGATTTAAGATTTTGTAACTTTTCTTCCTGATGAATGTAAAAAAGTGTTGAAATAACATTATGATATTCATAAGAATGATAGATTTCGTTTATATTAATTGGCAGTTGAAAGGAATTAAAAATAACTAGAAGTTTAAAGATTAAAATTGGAGTAAAATTTAGAATTTAATATATTAGATCTAAGTAATCTTAAAAATTACAAAAATAATTAAATATGTAAAGTTATTCATAGAGTGAAACAGAATTATAAATGAGATTTGACAAGGACATTTCAAATTTTAGAAATTTTATATCTGTTAGAACTAGTTCTCTCTATTTTAATTCAACAAGAGGATTTTAAGCTTAAAAATTTAATAATTATTCTCCATCATTTATAATAGATTAATAATATAAATTATTAAAAGAACCATTAAATCCAATTAATAGTCCATTAGATTTTGGTAAAGGAGAAGCAGAAGAAATGAGAAAAAGAACTTAAGTTTAATTATGTGTAATGAGTATGGAAAAAATAAATTATTTAAATTAATTTAAGTCACCAAAAATTCATTAATTGAAAAATAGATATTTAAAAACTTTTAAATAATAATAAAGGAAATCAGTTTCATAAATGTCAATTAGTACAGCATTAACTCCAAAAAAAAGATTAAGTTATTTTTCACCAGAAGCATCTATGATGAGTTTAGGTAATTTTTGATTTTTTAAATATATTTTTGATATAAAAATTAAACTTTTAATCAGAGTTGTTTAGCCTTATGTTTATTAAGATATCCTTTAATCTTTCCACGAAAAAATATGTATCCTAAAAATCCAAAAGTTGAGATAACAGTCCATATATTAGATCTATATATTCCAAGCATCTTATGGCTATAATTATCATTATCAAATTCAATTTAATCTTTTACTTTTTTCATTGTTGCACATAATTAAAAAACTCTTTATTTAGCTTATGATTTTGCAAGCATTAAGAATTCCTAATTAATTATAATATTATATAAATTACTAAAAGAGGTAATTCTTACATTCCTTTTGATGCAAGTGTATAAATAACTTTATCACATGCAGAACAATATATTTTTTATGTTATTTTTCTATATGTTTCATTTTAAATATTTTCCATTAAATTACTGCTAAAATAGAAATCAAATAATGCTTTTTTATCATCATAAACAGTTTCTATTTTTTTAATAGACTCAATTATATTGTCAAAAGTTTAATTATATAATGTGCCTTAATATACTCTATTTAAAAATAATAAAGCTAGACAAGTAAAATCAACAATCATATTCCATTCTAAAATTGGATCTTAAAAGAATGAATGTAATACTGGAATTAAATCAAAGTCTAGAAATACAGAAGACAAATTCATATATAAGTATATGAAATAAAGGAAAACAAATGCTATTTAAGCTTCATTATAATCCATCCAATCATTATCTATTAATAAAGTCAATCTTCTCATATTATCCCAAGATTCTAAACTCAAATTACAACTAAAATCTAATTTATAATCTGAATTGTAAGGTAAATCATCTGGTATTTCATCTTTACCACTATCATTTTCATCTTCAATTTGATCTTGAGCTTTATTAGGTATAATCATTGTTTATAGAACATTCAATATATATCTTTTTCCTTAAATATCATTACATTTGATTAAATCAATAAGTAAAATGATCATATTTAAATACATTCCCAAAAAACATAAAAAGAAGACAAATTCAATGTCTTGAGTATTAGTTGATTATGTTAATAAATATAATGGAAAACTTCCCTTGGCCATCAATACTGTTAAATATATTAAAAGTATTGATGTGGGTTCTTTTTCTTATTTAACTTTGATGTAATCATAATGAGGCCATAAGAAATTATCAATAGCATGTCTATAACCACGAAAACCTAATACTCTTAATTCTTTTAATATTTTTAATTTGTTTGTTGGTTATTCAAATTATTTTCTCTCAAATGGAACATCAGGTTATGCTTATAAAATTTTACGTGCTCTTTCTATTAATTCAATAATTGAATGATCACTTAATGTAATAATATCATCTATTGTACAAATACCAGGATCAGATTCAAGTGCAATATAATATAGTGTACTATCAATATTTTCTGTTTCCATAGCATCTCTAATTTATTTATATAAATTTTCTTATTTCAATTCTTCCTATTTTTCTGTAGATAGATTTTATTGTAATAATTTTTAATACAATCTTCCAAGACCTAACTTACTCATATTTGCATCTGATATTAGAAAATCAAAATTCATTTCTTTTCTATCAATTGAAATTGTTAAAACATAAGAGGACATTAAAATTTGGGATTGTAAAAATATTAAACAAGAAATTGCCCAATCTTCATAATTAATTGTCTATTTATATCTTAATCCAACTAAAATATACATCATTAAAATTGATAATGCCATTGCAAGATCACAAAGGAAGAATATTACTGCCTTTAAACCCTAAAACAAATTCTATTAAATAATTACTTGAACAATTCTGAAAAATCTAATGCTTTTGGCAATTTATCCTACATATAAATAAAGCAATTTTAAAGTAAAAACTGGCAATGCAATTGTAGCATTAAATAAATAAAGGATTGCAAAACATCGATATGGTCTCCATTCAATACTTCTTACATCTAAATTTTCAAATAACATCTCTTTCTTATCTTCTCTTGGCCTTTCTGAATGAATTGGAGTACTCATAAATTAAGTACTTTATTCAAAATAATAATTTTATTTATTCTAAAGAATAATCACAGTTAGAGATAGTAATATCATTAATTAATCTATAATAATATGGTTATTGTTGAAGAATACAATTAAAATAATAAAATAGAAGATTTTTAATTTGAACATTATCTATAGAATATCATATGAGACATAAATTATTATATATTATATTTTAAGTATACAAATTGATTCTCATTTTCTTTTTATTGATTGAGTTCTTTTAAATTATTATGAAATATGATTTTCGATTAAACAAAAAAGAATTAATTATTCTTTATTAATTATGGCAATTAAATACTTAATAATTCTACTAATTAAGAATGGTTTAATCCTTTATCACTTGGATATCTTATGATATTCTATAAACACTTTACATATTTCAGATATTTACTTAATTTGAATAGGAATAACATTATATGAAAATATTGACCTTGTATAATTGCATAATTTATAAATAAAAAAATTTAACGGATGATTTCTTTTATGGTAATGTCAAATATTTTATCTGAACAAATGAAGCAATAATATAAAAGCAAATCTGTGTTTTGGAGATAAGAAAAAGAAAAACTACTTTAAACTTTATAACCAAAACAAAATAACTAATCATAATAAAGATCAAGAACAAGTTAAAGAAAGAGTAAGTATCGTTATCTAGTTGAATCATTATATCATTAAGATACTCCTGAAAATAACAAATCTATTTACAATTAATTCTAATAATAAATTAGTTCTCAATTTCAACAGCAATAATTATAAAGTTCTTCAAAAAAAAAAAAAAATGATGAACTTAGCTTTTCAACAATTATGAATAAATATTACAAATAATAAGAAGGATCTAATACTAAATAACATATTTATGACCCTTTTGCTGAATAAATAATTGAATCTTTTTAAGAATTGAAAAAAAAGAAATCAATCAAAATAAAAGAATTAGAAGAGTGTACATCTGATACTCAATAGATATGTAATAGTGCACGTAAAATAAATATTATAAATAAAATCAATCAAATTAGAGAATTTATTGATCAATAATTAAGTACAAATTAGGAAGAACATAATAAAGAAATATAATAAGATAACTATAAATCCTAATATGCTGATATTAGTGCTAATATTTTTAGAAATAAATCAGTTGAATCTAAACAATTTTTAGATTAAAGTTATAGAAACTCAATACCAAAAATTAATGAAGACACACATAAAAGAAGATCTTCAAAAAGCTGTACTAGATTAGATGTTGGCATTTAAGTTACATTAGTAGATGAAATTGAAACTAAATAACAATTATAAATTCTACATTAAAATCAGTAAAATCTTCTTGTCAATAACAAAAATTCTAATCAAGTTATTTAAGAATTTAATATATCTTTATAAAATGAAGTGAAAGATTAGATATAATAAGCATTTCCAATATAAAATAAATAATCATCTAGCATTTCTGAATAACAACTATCTTAATTGAAAAAATATCATTTTGATCAAAATTCAGAAAGAAGTAGTAGAAGAAGTCAATTTTAAGAGAGTAACAGATCATTCATTAACAATGAAGAAAGATAAAATTTGGATATTAAAGAATCTGATACCAATAAGATTGAAACAAATTTATAATTTGAAGAAAATATCAAATTAATACCATAAAGTACTAAAAACTAAGAGGATAATTCATAATAATAAGAGAGATTATCTAATAAGTCTAATATTAATTATTAAATTAATAATTAAGAGAAATCTTCTATAAAGTAATATTAAGATAACGAAATAATGACAAATTAATAAAGTATTAATAATTCTAAATTTAACCTAAAGAATAAGGAAAATTATGAAGAACATAATTTTGTTGCCAATACTTAAACAAAATTAGAATAAGAGGATACAAAATTTAAAGATATTTAAACAATTAAGTAAAGAAATGTTATATAAATTCCTAAAATGATAAATAGTTTGAATTTCTAAAAATTAGATACAAATAATGATTTTTTGGCATAGTTAACTTCAGTTGATACAAATCGATTTAAATAAGATCTATAATAAATTTTGGAAGAGGAAGATTCTACTAATGTATTAAAGAATAAAGAAAAATAATAATAATTAGATATACCTTTAACTAGTAATCGATCATCATTATCTTTTACTGATCCTATGATCGTTTAATAAACAAATTAACATTAATTTGTAGATGAATCAGATGTTGCATAAACAGATTAAAGAATTATTGATAATGCTACTGTATTTACAGATGGTAATTTGTAATATTCTGAAGACACTCCAAAATTAAGAGTAACAACTTAATTGAGTAATAATAATTTAGATGAAGGTAAATATTAAGGAAATTCACAGTTAATAAGTGAAAAATAATAATAGATTATTAAACCAGAATCATAATATTAATAATAATTATTATCAAATGAGTTAAATTGTATGAATTCTTATTCTTTTGAGTAATGGCTTTAATAAACAGAAAATAATAAGAAAATATGTAATTAAAATGTTTATTCTTAAAACTTTTAAAAATAAAAATGTGATCATAGTACTTAAATTAATAAAATTGATTCAGATTCAGATGAAGAAATTTAGTTTATAAAATAAAAATAATAAAAATTTTAATTAAATTAAGGTGTTACTCAATTTGTAAGAAATATTTCATCAATTTTAAAAATTAGAAAAATTAAATCATTTTATGATATTCGTGAATTTTCAATCTAAGAAACATAAAAACACTAACAATAATTATAATAATCATAATAATAATCTTAATAATCAACATAATAATAATTTTATCATTCTCCATTTGAATCACAATATTCATCTTAGAGTTCTTGTAATACTCATTCTATATAAACATTATAAAAATAATAATTAAATCAATCATAATAATCTGCATAATATTAATTAGACTTAAGATCTTTAAACTAAACTTCAAGAGAACAAGCAGCATGTGAGAAAATTTCATGCTTACTTAAGATAATCAAAGAAGAAACTGGATCTGATACTTTAAGATTGATCCAAAATAAATAAACATAACCTTCTAAAAGTAAAAGAAGAGAGAAAGTATCAGAACCATCTAATTTTTCATAAAAATGCGATAAATAAACTAAAAATATACCTACATCACCAAAATATAATTCAGTATCAATCCCTGTTGAATAAATAAATGATAGAATCAAAGTAAACTTAATTTAAGATTTAGAATTAGAGTCTCCAAAATAAAAACATACAGAACATGTAGAATTAAATGATAATAGTAAAAATATTAAATAATTTTTAGTTCCAATAGCAGAGCCAATGGAATTTTAGGATGTTTTAGTTATTGAAAAATAAAAAAGAGAAATTAAAGAAAATAATTAATCTAATAATTGTAGCAATATTTTGAGTAATCAATGTGGGGAATAGAAAAACTTTTATGTTTTATCAAATCATATAGCTAATTAAAAAGCAAAAATTGCAAGGAAATTTTAATAGATTCATTATAAATCAGTTGGTTAATCAACTTCTAGGAAAGAAAATATATAATTTTGATTACTAATTTATATTTTATATTATTATTTTACATTTTTTATTTAATTTTATGCATATATATTTAACATTTTTTAAATTTGAATAATTAAAATCAAAGATAATTAATACCATGAATAGATAACATAAATATTTGATGTATTAGTCTTTCAACAAACAATATTATAATGAGTAAATAACTTAAAAATACCAACATATAAAATGATTCTGATGATGATAACAAGCCAAAAAAAATAGTGAAAAATAATGAAGACAATTTAGTTAAAAATAATGAGGATGACTAAGATTTTGAAATTGATTCAAACATTGAGGATGATGATGAGATTGAGGAAGATGGTATTTATATGATCTTAAATAATTAGGTGAATAGACATCTTAACACTCTAGTATAGATATAAATGCATACTTATAACAGAGAGATTAAATTCCAGATACAGATGAAGATGAAGAAGAAGAAGATCTTAAATAAAATAATAAATAATAATCAACAAAACTAAACACTAAGACATAAAAATCTAATAAAAAAATAAAATAAAAACAATTAAATGAGATTGAGGATGAGGAAAATAGTGATGAAGAAAATTAAGTTGATGATGAAAATGAAGAAGATGAGGAACCAAAACCTAAAAAAAAAGTATAATTCTAATAGATTTAAAATTAACAAACAATAAAAAAGTCAAAATGATATTTCTAAATAAACAATTTAATTTTAAATTAACATGTTATAAAGATATAATTTATTATAATATTTTTTATTTATTTACTGGATTAGTATTGAGAATGGAGATTATTATATTTAGTATTAAAATTTAATGAAAATTAAAAATCTGATATGATTGATATAGATATAATTATTTGATATTTAGGTTTCAAATAAAGATGGCCATCTAAATCACAAGATATATGATTAATTAAATTACATACATTAAAAGAAAGTTAAATGAGTAGATTTGATGATTAATAAAAAGTATTGATAGTAAAAATGAATGTTTGATAGTATATTTAGATGGATAATTTTTATAAAAATAATTTTTTAGAAAACTAGTAAATGATTAAAAAGATTTAATAAATAAAAATCTGTAAGCAGAAAAGAATTATGACGAGTTTGAAAAAGATACTTTCTATAACAATAATTAAAATTTGATCCAAAAATTATGTTAATTGATATGTTATATCATTTGTATCTCTTTGGAGTATCATATATTCTGCTTTGAACAAAGTTACTTTATGTAGCAAATTCATATTCTAATGCTCTATCTCTAGCTCTTCTTTCTAATTCAGCTTCTAATTCTAATCTTTCTAATCTCTCTTTGCTTCTTTGACGTTCATATTCTAATTCTCTTTCAACTCTATCTAATTATCTACTTCTCTCAAGAACCTTTCTCTCATTTTCTAATTACTCAATTCTTAATTAAGACTTTCTTAACTATTCTACTCTTTCTCTACTTTATCTCAATTCTTCCAAAGCTCTTTACTATTCTCTGCTCTATCTTAGAACCTCAATTTATTCTAATCTTTCTCTACTTTTTCTTAAATCTTCTAATCTCTCTTGACTTCTTCTTAATTCAATCTCCTCTTTTTATTTTTTTAATTATTCTAATCTCTCTTAACTTGATCTTAATTCTTCCATTTTTCTTCTTTATTTTTGTAATTCTTCAATTCTACTTCTTGATTTTCTGAGTTCTTCAATTTTTTCTTAATTCTTTCTCTCCTATTCTAATTGTTCCAATCTTTCTCTGCTCCTTCTTAAATCTTCAAGTCTTTCTCTGCTTTTTTTTAATTCATCAATTTAGGCTTATCTTTCTCTACTTTTCTTCAATTCTTCTAATTCTTCCATTCTTTATCTACTTCTTTTAAGTTCCTCTAATTAATTTAATCTTTCACGACTTTTCTTTAGATCCTCTAATCTTTCCCTACTCTTTCTAAGATCATCTAATCTTTCTCTACTTCTTCTTAATTCATCTAATTACTCAACCCTTTCTCTACTTCTTTTCAAATCCTACATATACTCCAATCTTTCTCTGCTTCTTCTTAGTTCTTCCACTCTCTCTCTACTTTTTTTTAAATCTTGTAAGACTTCTCTTTCTCTTTCGATTTGAATGATTCTCTCTCTGCTTCTTCTTAATTCATTAGCTATTTATCTTTCTTGTTGGAAGAAATCTGGAACAAAAGTTAAGGCCTCCAATAATTCTGAGTAAGATATTCTTCCATCTTCATCTGAATCAACAACTCTGAAAAAAGCTGTCAATTCATCAAATGATAATTTAGCTCCATTTTATCTTAAAAAATCTTAAAGTCTATTATTTATTATAAATTTTATTACGTATCAATTGTAATATATCCCAAATATACTTAATCAATGCATCTAAATGCATCTAAGGATGTGAAATCAACACTAGTTGTTAATATTTCTTAGGCAGCTGTTATTGAACTAAATTTTGACTTATATCATTACTTATAATTTTAAATTTCCTATTAGAATACTCTAGAAAGTCCCCACTCTACTTCTGTTGGTAATAGCATATTAACTTCAATGTAATAACTATCTCTAAGAGATGCAATTTGTCTCAATCTAGAGTCTTCTTTAGGCAATATGGCTTTAACGAAGCTAAGCATATTAAAAAATAAAATACTCAGGATAAGTGATTCTTCCATCTCTATTGAGATCGAGTCTCCTAAAGAGATAATCAGATTGAGCCTTTGTAGGATAAATTTTATTATCTGCCAAGAACTCTACTATATCAGAAACAGTTAATTCCCCTGTTCTTAGTTAATCCAATCTTCTGAAGGCAGTATATGGTTCAAACATCTTTTGTTCTGCTAACACTTAACGAACCATCTCTGTTTTCTTTTCTCCTTCTGCTATTGTGATTATTAAGTTTGCTAATCTTCCTTGTGTTCTTGCTGAAAGGTACATGATTAAATAAAATTTATTTGCAAATAAATAAAAATTAAATCCAAAGAAAAAAACCAATTTATACTCATCATTTAATACTAATTAAGTAATGAATTTATAATCTTATTTAATTTAAAATGCTTAAATATTAAAATTTAATGTTCAAAAAGACTTTTTATATTTTTCTATTTCTTGATCTTATATTTTGAAGTTTTTTTATTTTTATCAATAAAAAAAATTATCATAGTTGAAATTTTGACTAGAATTATTTATATGATTATGTTTAATATGACTCTTTTTTAAGAATGAGTTTATTCGCTTTATTATTTTATAATTCTATATAGACATCTAATTTAATTAATCTGATTTACTTTGTTAATATGTAAAATTTCTCTGCTTTCTGACCTATTTATAATGAATACATTCTTGATTCAAATTAGTATATTAGCTTAAAATCAATAAGCTTTTATGTGTTTAACCAGAAAAGAACTAGATTTATTTTATTTTTAATTAGACACAATTATAATATATTGAAAAGGATAACTTTTTGTATCTTAATTTAGTAAAATTTTTAATCAAATTATAAGTAGTACAAATAAAAACCAATAATTTAAGCTATTGAGGTTTCTTAATAAATAAAAATCCAACCTTTTAGAGATCAAATTACTCTCAATTAAATTTTCTAAATAAGGCTTAACATCATCTAATTTCATTCAAATTCATTCAAATTAACAACTATTCAAATAAATCAAAAATTTTTCTGATTCGCTTTTCTTAATATTTAATCATTTTAATTGAAAAAAGATTGAAAACTTAAATAAAAAATCCTTATCAATATACACTAGTATTTATAAATTTTTATTATTGTAAACATTATAAAATTTAGGTAAATAAGGGTATAAAATAATCCTTCTCTGACTTTAACAATTATGTTTCTCCAATTACCTACAAAAATAATATTATAGTTATATTTTTATTTTTAAGTTAGAATGATATTATAAAGTAATAATGTTTGATAAAAAAGATAAAAATCAATTAACAAATAAAATGATAATAAAATTATTTAAAAATTTAAATATATTAAATGATCAAGTTTTGTATGCTCGCTATCCTTTTAACACATTTCCTTATATTTTATCTTTTAAATTACTGATAATATTTGGTTATGAGATTATAGTCATAAAAACAGCTTTTTTTGAACATAAATAATCTCAAAATAAACTTTTTGATAAATTTTCATCAGCTAATTGTTCTATCCAAATTATTAGAAATGATTTTAAAAGTTTACTAGTTTTTTGCTTATTAAAAGATACACTGTAGAAATCAGTTAAAATGATTCATGTTCTCATTAATTGCATTCAAGAGTAAATTATACTTGAAACTAAGGAGAATGAAAAAAAGAATTTATTAACAAAGTTTTTATGATGAAAAAATATAATTACAGTAGAAGAATAATAAAGTTAATTATAAAATATTTAGATCCATTCTATAAATAATTTATTGAATTATTGTTAAACAAGAAATAAAGGATTTTTGTATAAAATATAAATCTAATGAAAGGTATTTAAAACATATTATTTAATAATAATTTATTAAATAAAGAAAAATAATGTCATCCAAAAGTCATGACCGTCAAAAAATATTGAGCATAGAATAAAATGTGGGCCTAACAAAAGAGTAGTATGAAAAAAAATATTTATTTCATCGTTTAAAAGAAAGATTTTTACATAGCTCGGATTTATCACTAGAAACAATCACCCCAGAAGGACATGAAAATATTTACATTCCAATGGACATTCAAACTCCTACTTAAGCAGATGGTTTAAGCTATGAGGATGAATAGGCCCTAAGAATGCACGGTGCTTAAATTTGTTTCCAAGCCTGCAATCACTTAAAATTACCATTAACAACAGCCATTACAAGCTTAGTTATATTTCATAGATTTTTTGCTAAGTATTACTAATGATGTCAAAATATTTAGGAATTCTTTCGTGGATTTTGATTACCGCGAAATTTCAATGGCTTCATTGTATTTGGCAGGCAAAGTTGAAGAAACATTACTAAAAACATGGTATATAGCAGGTGCATTTAGCTCTGTGTTTCAAAAACAAAAATAAGCTCCATTGTATAATGAATATTTATGTCTAGGGATATCATAATTAAATAAGAAAAACTTATTCTTAAAGAACTAGGATTTGAATTATTTAGAGTTTCAGATCATCCGCATAAGTTCATAGAATCATTTTATCATTTTATTAAGGTCGATAAGCAGGTGGCTCAAAAAGCTTGGTATTTCTTGAACGATTCATACATGACTGATTTATGCGTACATTTTCCACCTTAAGTTATTGCAGCAGGAGCATTGTATTTAGCATTGAGGGTCTGTAATCATCCTATGCCCACTTAACCATGGTGGATTTTGTTAGAAGCTACTTTAGAATAAATAGAGTAAGTAGCTGCCACCATTTATAATATTTATGAATTTGAAAAAATGGATTTTAGATAAGCAAGAAGAATATTAGCTAAAGCCAATAGAGTAGCTTATGTAATTTAACATAGCGAAATCTATGGCATGCCTGAAAAGATTGAAAGACCTTTAGAAACTAAAAAATAAAATTCTCTTTAACTATCCTAATAATAATCTTAATAGCCTTAATTAATTCAATAACAAGAGTCAATTCAAAATAATAAAGAAAAATAAGAACCATCACCTAATAATAAAGAAAAAAAAAGTATAAAAAAGAAAAGTAAATCAAAAGAAAAAAAAAGTAAAGATAAAAAAAATAAATCTGAAAAAAAGAAAAATAAAGATAAAGAAAAGAAAAAGGAGGATAAAAAAAAGAAAAAGAAGTATTTATATAATTACTATTTTATTAGAAGTAGATCTAGAAGTAAATCTAATGATAAAAAATTATCAAAAAAATAAAAAAAGAAAGAAAAGGAAAAAGAGAAGGAGAAAGAGAAAGAGAAAGAAAGAGATAGAGATAGAGAAAAGGAAAGAGAAAGAGAAAGAGAAAGTTAAAAAGAAAAAGAGAATGAAAAAGATAAAGAAAAGGAGAAAGAGAAAGATAAAGATAAAGAAATAAAAGAAAAAGATTAATAATAAAATGATTAGGAGAAATCATTAGAGGATCAAAATTCAAAAAAAGAATAAGATTAATATATAGATAGAGGTATGATTAAATCCAATATGGAGATTGAGAATGAAAATGAACAAAATTTAAACAACAAAAATAACTAGTAATAAATTTTAAAAGGTAACGAATAAATTAGAGATGACAATTTCCACCAAAATTCACAGACAAATCAAGAGCCTTAGTTATAGGCACAATAAACAAACCAAGATGATTAGTAGCAAAATTTTGTACCTATAGATGACTAATCGAAAGTGTAATTGCCTTTATAGAGTAAATAGGATTTCATTGCTCAAATGAAAGCACTACTAAAAACCTAATAACTACAGAAATTTGATGATATTGAAAAGAAGGATAAAGAAGTAGAAAATATTTAAATTGAAAAGCAATCTCCAAATGAATAGGATTCGGAAGAAGACTAACAACTTAATGCAATTAAATTAAAAAGTAAACTTAATATTTAATTATGTAGTTTTAGCAAAAAAAAGAAATGAATAATGAGCTCTGTTATATTAATTCAAAGAATTCGCTTAAGGTTATTTTTCTGTAATTTTCTATCTATATCTTTCTTAACAACTTCCAAAGAACCATCATCAAGTTCTTTAATTAAAGAAAGCACAGCACAAAGTATATTTTCATTTCTTTCTATATTCTTATTATTATTTAAGATATTTTATTAATTTGAATTTATTTCAGGAGTTGCAGGCCTTTATTATTCTTGTTGATTGAAAATAAATGGCTATTTTTTAGGAGATTCTTTTAAACTAGATTTTGGTCGATTCAAGTTATTATTATTCTAAGTTTATTCTTCAAAATCATCTTCTAAAATATTGACAGATTATGCATTTTATCTATCTTCATTTGTTATTGTTGTATTATCAAGTTTGACTAAGTTTGGAAGATATTTGACTACTATTTCTCTATAATTAGGATGATCTGCACAAGGATTATCTAAGGTAATTTTTGAAATGAGTACCTTATAACCACAAAACTCTTAAATTAGGTAAATGTACTAAATATCTCAATTCTTTTATATCACTTACACAATTTTTTCTGAGATAAAGTTCTTGTAATTTTTGGCAACAACCTATATCTTTGAGAGTTGAAATTTTGTTCACAGATAATGAAAGAACTTCTAAATTTGGTAATTGTCTTAAAGCTTTCAAATCATCAATGTCATTCCCCCATAAATTAAGATTTTTTATTTAGAATAGTTGATCATTTTTTGTTTTTTGAACTATTAGCTCTGCTGTTAACGGTTTACCCATTTGAAATTATTATATTATATTAATTCTAATAAAAATCCTATTTTAGGTATTGTATTTATCAAATAAATATAAGTTCAGGTAAATCAGCACCTTTTGTTTCAATTGGACAGGTGGGACATTTCAATTTTGATTTGTTTGCTATCATTTTATGAGCTGATAATTTAGAAATGACATGACCACACTTTAACAAAACTGGAGGATTATCAGATGTTGTGACTTCTTTTGAAACAGGACATACAAAAAATGAATGGTATTTATATTCCTTCCCAATTTCTATATCTATTGGGATATCATTTACAAGTACTTCTGAAGATCTATCTATTTGATAATTTCTAATATATTACTTCTTGTTATTTAGTTATATTTAATTAATTTAGGCATAGCTAAACAACCAGCAGAAAAAACAGTTCTAATTTCTGATTTAATCATAATATCTATAATAATTTTGATAAATACTTTAAGATTTAGAAGCAACTTCTAAGAATAGTTTTAAAATTCTAGGCCAATTCTTTTCATCATCATATAAATAGTAATATTTTGTATTTTCTATATTTGGCCATAAAAGTAATGAATATGTTATTAAACAAATCTCATATAATCTACCTTATGATTATTCTTAAAATGAAGAATTATTTCGCATAAAATAAATAGCTGCATTTATACCTTCAGTTTATACTAATTATATAACCTATAAGTATAAATTATAAAATTACTCTTTATTTCAATAATTCATAAAAAAGATTGTTAGTAGACTTTTTTTCTCTTTATTCTGCCCATTTAATAGCTGAATCTAATTTCCTTTATTTTAGATCATCCACTATATTTTAGACTTCAGCAAAGAATTAATGATATTGTGATTCTTCTGAACCTGATTCTTTTACTAAGATCTCGTAAGCTTCAAATTCTCCATCTCTCAGAAGATGATTCTTTATTAACTAAATATTTAATTGTAATTTTTCACTTTTGTCAAGATTGTCTAATTTAATTCAACATGTTCTTGCCCATATTATAAATTTTTTTTATATAATTTATCCATGTTTTTACCCATCTTAGAAATATAAGCATAGCATTCATTATTAGTTTATTTTATTTTTGTTAATGGTTTATAATTCTTCCTTAATAAATATAATACTTGTAATTTATCTTTTAATTAAGAGTAGTCATTGCTTATTTTTGCTTCTTCAATTTATGCTATGATTTGATCTAACTAATTATTTATTATTTTATTAGAAATCCTAGTTTTTTTTTTAATTCTCTCTAAATCCTTCAATAAAGAGTTCCCTTCCTGTTGAGTTGAAATCATAAATAATAAAAATCAATTATAGTATTATATTAATAATTTCATATATCCTTTAAATTTCTATCTCTTTTAAGATTTTACTATATATTTATTAGAAACAATTTATTTAAACTACTTGTATCTCATCAAATACATAAAAATGTATGATTATAATAAAAAATTATTGAGTTTATTAATTTATGATTCTAAGTGTTGATTTATAAATTAGGATAGAAATATAGTAACTAAAAAATTGCAAAGAAAACATTCTAATCATAAAGAACTTATATTAAAAGTATAAAAGAATTGAAATTTAAGAGTACTTATTTAATCATTAGAGTAAAATATTTGATATATAAACTTAAAATTTTACAGTAATATAATGAGATCAAGCTTAGCTCTTCGTTTAAGAAATTCTATAGATAATATTTAATATGATAACAAATACTCTGTTCATGTAAATACTTAACATCATGTCTTGAGTCCTAGAAAGTCAGTTGATAAAACTACTATTCATTAGATATATAAAGTAACTTAACCACATCAAATCAAAAATAAAACAATAAAATTGAACAGGGATGTAAGTGGATATAACATCAGATATAACAGTTCAGTTGATGTAAGTTTAGAAGAATTAAAGAAAATAAAAAAATTAGAAAAAAGTTTATATTACATTTAAGAGAATCGATAAAAGATGGATAATAAAATTAATATTGGAAAAGTTCTAAAAGAGGTTCTGTAAATATAATAACTATTCTTCTTAGAACCCTTTTTAGAATAGTTATAATTTAGAAAAATAATCTAAAAGATATTCTCTTCCAGTTTTGAATAAGAAATAATCGCCATAACATAATAACAATGATAAAATGAAGGTAACTATATTACCAGCAATCTCTGAAAATACAAATGCAAAATAAAATAACTTTAGTATTGAAAAATGTTTAGAAGATCTTAATAAAATAAAAAGTGGTGGATAAAAAGAACATCCATAATCTACAGAAAGAATTTTAGATTTATTATTACTAAATACTTGTGATTTAAAAAAAATATTTAAAAATTAGAACCAAAAGAATAAAAGAAAGATTATTGTATAAAGTAAAGTGCCATAAGACTTTTTCAATAACTTAAAAAACTTCTGATTATAATTTAAGCATATATTAATAATTATCAATTATAACTTATGCTCCAAATTTCTAATCTCTCTATAACAAATTTGTTATTTTTTGACAGCACATCGTTATCAAATGTTTCACAATGACAGCTATATCCATTAGATAAATCGGAATTGATAAATAATCCATATTTATCTCCACAGCCTACAGCTAATCCATCAGTATCACATAATGTAATATAATTATTTATATGAGTCCACTTATAAACTTTAATATCTTAACTGTTTTTGAAAGTGAATAGAAAAGATTCACCATTACCATAAAATTTTCCATAACTATTTTTGATACCATCTGATAAATAAGCACCAAATAAATAATTATCTAAATCTCTTATTAAAATAACTGATGGAGAATTATTTTCAGTTTTTCTCATTAAAGTTTAAATTGACGAACCATGTTAAATAGAAGAATAAATACATTGCCATTTTTAACCTTTAAATAGAATAGGTAAATGGGTCGAAATACTTATGAATTTGTCTCTTGTTACAATTTCTGATTTGGATTCTAATTATGTTTATTAAGAATCTCTACAAATAACCTCTAATAATAATAAATCTAAATACATTTTGGTTATTCTATATTTTACATTTATCCATCCATTTCAAAATGATATGGAATAATTGTTTTTTAATCATAATATTCTGTTGTACTTTAACTAATTTGATATTCTTATCCTACATTTTTGTAATAATCTTGCAATTTTTAATTAATTAGATTTAAAAATTCATCAATACGATTATCTTCCATTAATTTTACAACAACAATCTTCTATTTCTTTGTTTATGCAATAATTGTGATGACATTATTTTTATTTATAGTAACTTTCTTTTAAAAAAACTATGATAATTCTTATTATTCAACTAAAACTATATGTTTCAATAGAATTTAAAGATATAAATTTTCTATATCTCTTATTTAAGCATTAAATATTATTTCATCATTTTATTTACAATATTTTTCAGGCTCAAATGCCACAAAGGATGATGTTATCATAAATTAACCTTTTATAGCTCCAATTTAAGTAATATAAAGGGCAGGATAAATAGAGGAATCAAATTTCCTTGAATTCTGTTCTAAAGGTTTCCCTAGATCTGATTTTAAAGGTATCTTTAATGTCATTCCTGGATATATAGAATTTTCAGATAAATTGTTTAATCTTAAAATTTAGATTGCACTAATCAATATGAATTATTAAAAATACCTTATTTCAAATTTTAGCTCTAATCCATAAATAGAATCATTCATCTCAACTTTATAATAAATAAAGTTCTCTTATTAATGTTAGTAATTATCCAAATATTCTTTTGGTAAATTTGTAAGATTCCCTTCAAATTCATCTTACTTAATGTCTAATTCATATTCTGGACAATCTTTTCCAGCATATTCAATATTAATGATGTCATAATCAGCAGAATCGGAATTTAACTAATTTCTAGCTGCGATTTAATAAAAGTCCATAAATTTTTAATATTATATATCATTTTTGGGCTAATTCTTATTTCAATTAAATTGAAAATTCATCTGTCAAATCCTCATCATCCCAATCCTCTCTCCATTATTTGATATCAATTTTCAAATCATGATTCACTTCCAAATCTATAATTTATCATATAATAATAGTTACCTTCTTATTCAAATTCTTCAAAATCATCATCATCTTCATCAAAAATTTTTTGTATTTGTTGTGGTTGTTAAGCAGGCACTTTCTCCTCTTCTATTTTATTTGACATTTATTTAAAAAAATTAATTAAATAATTATACTAATCAGACAAAAAAATAAACAAAAAATAAACCCTTAAGAATATTAACAATATTGTATTATTAATTATACTTTTATAAACAATAATCTAATTATAATACAATTATTAATAATAAAATATTGAATCATATATGATTATTACCAAAAATATCTATTTAAATTAAACTTAAATATACATATTCAAGGTATATATAAATACAATTTTCAAACAAATAATTGTCTCTTCATAATTAAATCATCTAAACAATTTAATTAAGTTAAATTTTTGGTAAAATCAAATTATCAATTTATGCAGTATAAGCTTCTATTGCAGCAGCTATTATCCATAATTGAATATTTCCATTCAAAAAGTAATTTGCAATAGAACATCCAAGTATAAAACTTATTGTTCCTTCAATTGATCTTTAATTTTGATATTTTAATTTTCCAAATTTAGATCCAATTATAGCAGCAAATGAATCTCCTACCCCTAAAATTATAATACTAATTAAATAATATTAAATAATAATACCCAATAAATTTATTAGTAACACTAAAAAATACTGAATGTGATACACCCATTAATAAATATATTTGAGTTATTATTAATTTTTCTGAATCTCTTTTGTCACAAAATGATAATAAAAATTTAGAATATTTATTTAGAATCTCAATATCATTTCTATAATATTATCTCAATCCCTCAAAAACAATGAAAAACCAAATAAATACTGCTAAGGCTAATTTAGTATAATTAATATTCAAATAAGTTCCTAATAATATAATGAAAAATATCTAGAAATGGAATAGTTTTCTTTAAATAATTTTCTTCAAATTTAGATAACTAATTGGAATTACCAACATCAATCCAAGAAATTATAAAAAAAAATATGTACCAAATTCTTATGTTGCTATTTCATTAATTAAAATTGATAAACTATGTCCTCTATATTATAAATAATAGTATATAGAGAAAAAGTTTATTTTAAAAATTGCAATAAATGTAAATCCAAAAGCAAGTTCTTTTATGGGTATTTAATGAATTAGTATTATCAAAATATAAGATAATATTGATAGCATTAAAACTAACTCTGATAAATATTCAAACATATTCTATCCATTAAATTAATAGTATTCAATTATATATTAAGATAATGCATATGATTCACAAAATGTAAGCATTTTTGGATATTATTACACCAATAAATGCATAAATAATATGCCTATAAATTCTTTTAAAATTATATGCACCTATGGATACATAATGAAAAAACAAAATGTTATAAGTATTTATTAAATTTCCAAATTGAACTTTGTTTTCTTATTAATATTCTGAAGTGAATTATTCCTATAAAATTAGTGATCAGCTTTATAAGCAAAATATAGCATTAAACATCTATATAAAACTAATTTATATGAAGGATTTAAGATTAGAAATAGTAATTCCAAAAATCCTTAAGAATAAGCTAATTAAAAGTTCATAATTAAAAATTAAATAAATGAATATTAACGAAAAAATTGAAAGATTATAGAAAGAAATTAGCGATTTGAAATTAAAAAAGAAATACTAAGAGTTACCAGAAAATGAAAATAGCTTGTTTTATAACACTCAAAAATATTTGTTTTTTAAAAAGCAACAAATAAAACCAATTACATAAAAGCCATCAAATAAAGGTTTTTCTCTTTCAAAAGCAGTTTTTGGATGATTTTTATTTATTTATTGAATTAATCATATTATTATTTTCTTTTCATTATCAAATAGATTATAAACAATAATATTTGTTTATTCAAAATATTTTTTTTACAAGTAGATATATTTATGATTATATTCTTGTACAAATTTCATATATATCAATCGAAATCTTTATAACCAGGATCACCTTTTTTATATTCATTAGAAAAATTAATTTCAATATTTTGTTTACATGCTTAACTGGCTTCGGTTATCTCTTTCAATAACTAATGATATATTTTAATTTTACTTACTTATTCCTCTGTTAAAACTTCTTCTTATTGTATTATAGTTTATTATTATTCAAGAGATTTTTTATACTAATTATATGATCTTTCAATCATACTCCAAAGCATCATAAACAACATACCACCAAACATTACAGCAATTTCTGGACCAATAGATTTTCTTAATAAATCATCTACATTTGCTCTAATTATGAAAATTATAAGTACTAAATTATCACTTTGTAATCATCAAGTCCATGAACTAATCCTTCTGATACTTCATATGCAGTTTCTCCAATCATTTTAAAGAATTGGCTGACCATTGCATCACTAAATTTTTCAACACTATTTGTATAATCTTTTTCAATAATCATGAAAAATTATTTGATATGCTTTACAAGAGCTTCAGAAGCAGTTATTCTTGGTTCAAATCCTTCAATTACTAAATGTTGTTAACTTCCTTTAGGAACTACTGTTGATAAAAATGAATTTGCCAATTTTTCAATTAATTCAATTCTTCCTTCAAATTTTCCAATTAAATTATGTAAATTTTCTTTAATGTTTCCTTGTAATGCATCCAAAAATGAATAATTGCCTGAAACTTAAGCAGCCATTATATCTCCTACTTTCACTTATGAAAATATTTATAAAATTTCTATTTCACCTTCTTCCATTTTATTTGCATAATTTTACATCATTAATTCTTGTAAAGTCATTGTAAATAGATTAGCTCCTCCTTATTAATTTCCAAGGCCAAGATTTCCAAATAAACCAGACATCATAGATTAGGCTTATTGAGGTATATTTTATGTATTTTAAGGCTATTATTATTATTATTGTTATTATTGCTATTATTATTATTATTATTATTATTATTATTATTATTATTATGGAGATGAAAATGATTACTGGGGTTAATATTGATTTTGCTATTATTCTAAATTAAATAAATTGCTATATCATATAAAAAATATTTACTTGACTAAGTTATTGAGAGCATTTAAAGAATTGTTATTTTATTATTGATCTCCTTCTAAATTTGATTCTTATTCACTTCCTGCATCAATTTCCAAAACTTATGCATCAATAATAATTTGATCTCCCTATTATTCTACTTAAATCTATTATGAATTATTTTATGATAAGTTTGGATTTTATGAGAATTAATTTAATAGTTATCCTAATGAGCTTAATAAGTTTTATTATGTTTGTTATTATGGATGTTATTATTATTATTGTTATTGTTATTATTATTATTATTATTATTATTATTATTATTAAGCTTATTGATCTTACTATGATTATGATTATTGTTATTATAGATTTCTAGTTAATTGCTCATTTGATATATTATTAATTCCATTATTTTGAGTACTATTTTATAACAATTAGACAGGAACTTATAATTAAAACTATCCTGGAGTAGATCCAAGAACTAAAAATCGAAGCAAAGCAGAAAACAAGTCACTTGTCATTCTATTAATTGACTACACAACAGTTGCTGAGTCCCTGCTTAATTACATTGTTTCTCTTCTTTCATTTTCAGAAGTCAAAAAGGGTTCCCTCATTAAAAGATCTGATACTCTTTACAATATTGGTAAAGTTCTTTAAATAACAAAACAAAATTAATGAAGATAATGTCCTAAGACAGTAACATTATTTCTATGCTCAGTCATTTATGGTAATTAAAATTATAAACCGAGTAATGATGAATGATAAAAATTGCCAAGTAAGTTATTCAATTATTGAATTTATTCTTAAGGAAGATTTATTCCAACTGAAGATTAAGTATTTGGCAATAGAGTTACTTATTATAACTATGGTGCATTTTATTATTATTGTGTTTATTGTTATTATCTAGGGACAGATTAATTTTACTAAGTTTATTATGGTTATTATTATTGTTATTATTATTATTATTATTATTATTATTATTGTGATTATTATTATTGTTATTATTATTAACTCTATTGAGTGGGCTAAGCTTATTATTATTAAGGTTATTATTATTATGAGGATCTTGTGATAGGTGGACCAAACATTGATAGAATATTGGCTAATTCTGGTGGGATAAAGGGCTAGCCATCTAATACAGAAATATAAAATAAACTTACCTCCTCCTCCTATATGAATTTATGTAGTTGTTTGTATACCAGGCATAAATTACATTCTCTATTATTACTATTAAGTTTAATTTTAATTTGGTTATTATTAAGGTTATTAGGGATTAGTAATGGCCATCAAATGTATTGTTTGATCATCCTCCTTAACTAATGGTTTGATATTTTTAAATACTTATTTCATTTAATATTTGATTATCTAGAAGTGCTTTACCCAAAAAGATCAATCTTTATCTATCTATTGGAACTTAGGATTTAGTAAAAATTTCTTTTTTTAAGTCTGCAATCGTAATCTAAGTTTATTTTAATATTTGAATACATCTTGGGGCACCTCAAGCTCAAACACTTATTAAGAAATGGTTTTGACTTTTAACTTTCTTTTCTAATTAATATCCATATTTCTATATAATAATTTTAATATTAGGTATTTATTGTAAATTTTAAATTTAAAGAAAGCCTTTATGTTAATATATTTAGATATATTTAATCATATATAGATACAAACTTTAAATTCAAATAGAATTTTTTGATCATGAATACCTATTCTTCAAAATTTCTGATCTTGGTTAATGCTTATCATAAGATGTGTCTGCTCTAGCTGTATTCGAAAGTATGTTTTTAAATTACTATTAATTTATAGATTTAGCAACATATCTTTAATAATACTTTGGATTATTTATTTCCTTTAAAGGTAAGATCAATGAAGCCATTTATTTACTCACAGGAGAAATGTTCATTTTATGATGATGCTCATTTCTATTGCTCCAATTTTAAGTATCTGTTTAGAGGGGCTTTATGGGAAGTTTTCTATAAGTAGTTCCAATCATGCATTCAGAAGGATCGATAAAATCATTAATTGATTTTTTTAATTCTTTTGTGTTAAGTTAAAAATAAGCTAAGTTTGGTAACTTCTCTTTTGCCATTTATAATGTATAGAACCAACATAAACTATTTTCAGAAGGTTAAACTTAATTCAGCTTTTATAACAAATCACTTGTTATGTATTAACTCATTTTTTCAGGAATACCATTTAAAGAAATCTTGGAATTGATTGGAAGTAAATCACAAAGTTTCATAAAATTTTCACAATTCTCTTCATTCTAAAGTACAATACATAAAAATATGCAAGAAACTTTACGAAGATGAATGCTTTTTTTTTCATTCAAATTCTTCAAAATTTTCTATAAATCTTCTTAATTGAATGATTCAAAAATTTAACGTTTTATAGAAGGGTTATTATTCATGTATTCAATCAATCTAAGCATTGACTCAATCAAAGAGTCCACATCTTATTCAGAATGCTTCTTTAAATTCAGCATGTAGAAAATTAAATTTATTTATATAGTTTATTCTTTATATTATTATTAATTTGTTTAAAACATACTTAAAAGAGTATGATGTAATTTTGATAACATAAATTTCATATCAATCTATGCTAAAGTTTAAATTTTTAGAACTAATTTTAGGAAGTCTTTTCTATGCAGAATTACATCTTTAAGCTTAATAAGGATTATTATACTGCCTTTAACCAAGTAAGTCTACTCCTAAAATACTTTGAACCTTTTTAACCTTTTATTACAATGACATTAAATCTTATTAAGGTCTGATATCCAATAATTAAGCTAAGATAATTTTTAATTATACTTCTTCCAACTACTAATAATGGATAGCGATTTGATTCTTAAATTTTCTAATCACTAAATATCTCATCACCCATTTTATCTACTTTATTTTATTTTTCTATGGTTGGATATGGACTTTTATCATAATTTTTATGAATCTCCCCATGAATTCTATCTACAGATGATATTTATGTTCTTAAATCTTTTACATCCTATTTTTCTGTATTTAATTTTTCTATTCTATCTGGACTTTTATTTGGAGATACATTTATTTTTTATGTTGAATTTGTTTGTTCTGCAATTAAGATAACCTAAGAACAAGATTATGAATGTCTAGTAGATTCTTGAATAGTTTAATATTAGTCATTCTCTGGTATTTAGATTGATTTATGTATTTAAGAATATATCTATGAAATATATCTAAATAAATTGTCAATGACTAATAACTAATCCTTTGTACTTTATTTCTAACTTTATTGAGGTATTCCATCCTTTTTTTGATATAACCGTTAATGAACCTATTAACCTTTTAAAAAATTATTTAATTTATCTTTAGTTTAATTACAAATTTCTGCCTTACTATTTATTTCCTGTTCTAAAAAGATTGTCTTTTCTTGAATTGTTTAAAATCGTTTCTCAAATTAATTTGTAAGTTTTTCTATTATATTTTAATCTTCTTATTTGCATTGAGAGAACACTTTTTACTCTGAACTATCCAAACAAAATTGTATATAATTATTCATTGAATCAAGTCCTGATTAAATTTAAGATTATATATGTTCTTATTTCTAATGTATTTTATTGAACTCATTTTATAGAGTTTATTCTAGTTAATCAAATTATTATTTTAATTATGTACTTTGAGTTGTCATTCTAAAATAATTAAGAATGATTACCCTTTAGTTTGCATTTAAATGGTGTCCTTAAAAACTTAATTTTTCTATGAAATATCATTGATCTATTATGTAAATTCTTTTTCAAATTATATAGTTGAATTTTTGGTAAGTGTAATAGCACTTTATAGTTCTTCTACGACTCTTTCTGATTTTCTAAGATAAGTTGAAAAGTTTTATATCTAATAATATTATTATTAAATTTTTTCATCTGTCCATTTTTATATCTCTTCAATTTTTGATTTCATTAAATCATCAATTAATTTAATAGATTTTTCAATCAATGTTTGTTATAATTATTGATTATTCATTAGATTATTTTATATTGTACTAACTATAAACTTATCGTTGGCCTTTAATTCAAATTTTTTATCCAATTTATCTACTTATTAATCCAGCTATATAAATTTATTGAACATTTCTTCTCTCTTTTTTATTTCTTCCTCATGTTACAATAATTTTTACTCTTCAATTCCTTTTATTTTACTAATAAGACTAGCTTCATGTTCTATAAAAATTTCTTCTACTCTTTAATTCAATTTCTCTTGGATAATATTTATGCTCTAACAATAGAATCATTATATACAGAAGTATTCTGACTTTATTAATTTATTATTTGATTTAACTTCTCATTTAACGTAGCAATTTCATCTTTTGATTAAAGCATATATAAATTTGTATTTGTTGACAATTACTTTAAATCTGTCTAAAGATTATTAATTCTAATTTCTTAAGATGTATTTTATATAACACTCATGTATTTTATCAATATTATTAATAAATTGTAAACTTTAATAGATAAAGTATAATAAAGTATAAAAAAGAATAAATTAGAAACTCAAAATTTAGAGGTATTTTCTAATTAAATAAATAGGAGCATTATAATTTTGGTGGGATATTCATAAATTGAAACGGTAACTAAAATTAATAAAAGTATTAATCTTCAGAATTTATAACAAAAATCTAAACAAATTATCCTTATTATTTATAATATTAGAGAATAGATATACCCATTAAAGTGGTAATTTCAAAGTCATTATTTATTATTTGCTATTTTATTAATTATATAAATATCATTTAACTATATTAGTTAAATTCTTTAGAATTTAATAAGGTAAATAATTTAGATAATTTATAATCTTTTATCATTTATTCTTATTTTGGGTCTTATTTTTTAATTATTGTTTGTCGTAAGTTACATTTGTATTTGATCCCTATTTGATAGAAATAATTGAAACTTCTTTCATGTTTTTAGTTTTCCCTATTATCTATATATTATTTTCTTTATGAAAATTTGTTTATTAAGAAATATTGTTTTTATTATTATTATTTTCATCATTTTTTAAATTAGATACATTAATAGTTTCAATAGCATAAGTTTTTTTTATCCAAGGATTTTATTATGAGCTATCAATTTCTTCTGATTATTCAGCGATATAAGAAAATTATTAATCATTTGATGCATTGTTTGGTTATTCTAAAATTTCAATTTATGGTGATTCCTCTTTCTCAATTTGTTCATCAAATATCGAAATATTTACTATAGGAGTTGGCTTGAATAAATGAGGAGGTCCATTTAATTTATATTGTTTGTTAGTTATTAATTTCAGTTCATCTCTTGATTTTTCAGATGGTTGGAAACAAAAAGATGATCCCATATTTGGAAATGTTTATTAAATTAATATAAAAAGAATCAATATACAAAATATTAGATGATTGAGTAAATCATATATCGAATGATAAAATTTATATTCATAAGTTCTTTAATTATAATATGAAATTTCATAAAAATGGACAAAGTAGATAAATTGATAATATTAATATTGAAAGTTCTGTTACCTAAATAGTAAATTACTAGAGAAAAGAAGAAATAATTGCTATTAAGAAATTACTATTTTGAAGTGTAGAACAATGTTCTAAGATCGAAAGCTTAATTTTTTAGATTTATAAAAAAGTAAACTTGATATGAATGTCAGGATTGTATATTACAAAGATCAATATAATATAAATAAATTAAATTTATCAAACATATAATAGTTGTTGTTTTCTATTAAAATTTTACTAACATTATTTGTAAAACTATTTTCAATTCCAACGAGATCTTATCCAACACAACATTTTAAAGATGAGGTCAAAAAATAACTCTATAAAGAAACCTGACTTGCAATAACTGAAGAATCAAATAATATAGTTTTAATTTTGTTTTTTTCTTTTTTAGATCCTAAAATATAATGGTACTTTCTGAAGAACTTTGCTTAAAATCTATCAGTTATTTGCATAACTGCTACTCTCATTTATTTTTAATTATTGGTCAATAGATAAAGTGCTAATTTAGAATCAATTTCCTATTTTAGAATCTTCAACTTTAAATATATTGATACATAAAGTGTTATATATATATTTCCTCTAATTTTATCACATCAAAACCATTTAATTTTATAATCTACATGAACATATTCAAAGATTCTTGCATTTTAATTCTACTCAACAATATTAATTAAATTTAATTCATAAACTTGAGATAACTTCATTCCCATTGTGTTCTATTTAAATGACCATAAATCTTAACTTCTTATCAAAAACTATAGAAATCAAAACATAAAAATCACCTTTACCATAAATTAAATATACTATAGATATAAAATAATCATTTTACTGTTCTTATTAATCTATGAAACTTTTAAAGTCAAGAGATATTTAAGTCTAAAGGCCATTTTGATGAATAAGAATTTAATAAAAGCATATAAAACCATTCAATGCTTCAGTAGCAGATATATCATTAATTCATAATATAATTTCTGAAACAGAATCCATAAAATTATCATTAGTCATTCTTAATGTCTAATTATAATAATAAATATCAATACTTATATTGGATGAATCCTTATCCTTCTATATTATACTAAAATTATAGCAAAAAATATTAAATGTAATTAAATTAAAAATACTCTTAACATTGTAAAATATCAGTCTAAAATTCATAGTTTTTATTCGTCATCAACTTCGTAAATTGCTTGTTATTATTAATTATATTTAGAACAAGTAAAATTTTTCTTTATTACCTCTGGTTAAATAAACCTTGGGCTATTGCTGAAATTCATTTTTCCTAAATCAGGAGATTATGTATCTGGACTTAGATGTTCAAATTCTTAAGTAGAAAACTTTTTTAAAACACTTTTCTTAGGTAATTCTGTAGGAGACCCTTCTGCTAAAGCTAGATTTTTTATTTTAGCTTATTGAACAAATCTAGGACTATTTATAGATGGAAGTTTAATAGTTGCTCTTTCATCTTCAACATCATCTTCCTCATTTTATTTTTAGATTTGTTTAGTTTCAGGCAAATATAATTGATCAGATTTTTCTAATTTAAATGTTAAAGTTTGCCAAGGCTTTGAAATACTTTTAATTGTCTTTTTTTATGATTAAAATTTCAATTTTCTATCTTAATAAGTATCTGTAAAAAATGGATGTTCTAATGCTTATTATGCAGAAATTCTATTATTAGGATCAATTTAAAGCATTTGATAAATTAAATCAATAGCTGTTTAAGGTGTTTAATAGAAAGTCAATGTATCTAAATTTATAATACATTTTTTATTCAATTTTAAGATTTCATGATAGTCATTTCCAGGAAACAAATCTTTAGATGTAATTCTAATTTTATTTTAAAAATAATTACAATTTATAAAATATGCAACCTACACTAAACATATCACAAATTTTGTCATATTTTATTGAATGATCTTACATATTTGCTATTTCAGGTGCTACATATCCAGGAGTACCACATTTAGGAAATGTATAATTAGTTACTGTTGTATATGTTGCCAATCCAAAATCAACAATTCTTAAACCATTAATATCATTTTAATTTTTAAACATAATATTTTCTGGTTTCAAATCTCTATGCATAATATTTAAAGAATGCATATATACAACTCCATTTAATAATGCCTTTCTTTATATATTAAAAATACCTACATTATCACTTTTATTTCATCCCAACCTAATTATATAATTGCTTTTGTTATTAATTCATGAAGAGAACCACCTTTCAAGTATTCTAATATGATATAAAATGTGTTCTCTCCTTCATATACTTCTTCTAATTTTACTATGCTATCATGTTTAAGTACTGCCATCAAATTTATTTCATTAAATAAAGCTTCCTAATCTCACTTATTTATATTTACATATCCACCATCCTCTTTCAAATATCTTTTTTCTACATTTTTAGATGCAAACTATTGATTTGTAAATTTATCATTTACTAAATAGACCTTTTTATTAAAAATTACTTTTACCCTTGAAGAACCTCCTCTACCTAACTATTTGATTAGTAAATAGTAGTCACTCACATTACGATATATCACTTTATTTCTTAGTAATATTTTCAGTTGCTAAAGTCCTTCATTATCTCCATTGAAATATTTAACTTCTCCTTTATATTCAAATCCAACTTATTAATAATTTGATTTTTCATATTGCCAATATACTTTTGTATTAAGATTTAATTTAAAAATATACTTTGGTTATTATGTATTTAGTTCCTTTTTAAAAATAAATTTATCTATTTACTTAAGCTAAAATTAATTATTCTTTGAATAAGAACAAAAAGTATGTGATATCTTTAAGAAGATGCTTTCTTAAAAGGATCATTTTAAATATTGATTATTCATAATCGAATTATTGGATTAGGTTCATTATTTATATTAATTTAAACACAAATTAAATGAGGAGTAATTTAAAATCATTATCTTAATATTAACTAAATATTAATAATTATTTCAATGAATACAAAATCACTTATATTTAGATTTCCAATGACTTATGATTAATCAAAAGCATTATTAGATTAATCAAAATGTGATGAAGAATTCTTTAGAACAATCATAGCTTTAAGTCTATAATTAAAATAATTTGTGAATGAAGATGACATATAATCTTTGACTAATTTTTTTAATCAAAATGCAGGTATGATTCCTTTCTTAAGAATATTTATTGATGAATCATTTGAATAAGCTGTTCTATATAGATATGAAGAGATAATAAGATATTTCATAAATAATAGTTATTAAGTTACAGATAAAAAAATTCTTATAACTTTATTACAAACCACTAGATTTTTAAAACATGATCCACCTATTGAAGTCTTAGAGTTATTGATAAAAGATGGAAATGTAAAACCAGATGAAGGTACTGATGATAAATTTAGAACACCTTTACATTTAGCTTGTAAATATGGGATAATAGATTTTATAAAGTATTATATTAATTATATGAATTAGAATATTAATTGAGAATGGTGCAGATATAAATGCAGTAGACAAAAAAAAGTTTACTCCCTTAATGTATTTATAAAAAAAGATGTAAAAAGAAGAGGGATTAGATGCAATAGAAAAATATATGTATTAAAAGGGAGCAGAGACTTATGTTACATCTATATTTTGATATTAATGTATAAATAAATTTTAAATTACATAAATTCTTCATTATTTTATTTAACTTACTTAATATATAACACATAGATTAAGCTTTTACAAATATTATTATAATAAATATTAAATGAATTAAGAAGAATAAGAAATTTAAGAAATTTAGGAAAATAAAATTGAAGATCTTAGAAATAATGAAGAATTTCAATAATTCTGTGATCATGTCTAATAAATTCAAGAAAACTTAAATGAATTTATCACAAAATAATAAGGAAATTAAGGTGAAGAAAATTAAAGACTTCATTTATAACTTTAAGAGAACTTTGAATTAATAAAACAGAAAATAGCTGCTTTGAGAAGATCTGAAGTGATTGAAAATTAAGAGGAATTAAAAAAAATGATTGATGAAGTGACAAAAATAGTTTAATAGACAAATGAACCATTCTAATAAATTTGTAAATAATTAGCTTTATATTTAGAATAAGAAGGGAATGATTTTGATGGACTAGAATTAGAATTTACATAACCAAGAAGAATTAAAGGTCTAAGAAATGCATAAGAAAGAAAATAAGATAGGAAAAGAGCTAGAATATAAAAATCAAAATAGGCATTCTAAATATTTAAAAAATATATTATTGTTTCCTTGATAGCTTTTTAAAAGTTTATTAAAGATCCAGAAAACATAGCCAAATTATTTGTGATAGCAGTAAGTTGTTTTTTTGTAAGTTCTTTTTTATAAATACCAGATATGAGTAAAAGACATAGTTTATATATACTTGAATGGTTAGCTTATAATAGATGTGCTAGAGTTGTTTTAATAAGTGGATCATTCTGTTTTGTATCATTAACTTGGTATATTATTTTATTGATATGGATTGGATTTATGGGATTGAATGAAACAAAGGGAAAATTAAATACTCTTATACATGAATGTAATCCAATATTATAATTAACATTAATATTTATGACTGATAATGACTTAATAAATAATAAATTAGATTTAGCCATTTGGTTTTGTTATTTATTTCAATATGCTACTTATAGAGTATATTATATACATTCAGTAAATATTATTAAAAAGATATTATCAACACTAACATCATAAAATTTCAATAGAGTATATTAATTTTAATAAATTTACATCTTTTCTTTAATAATATTAGCAATGAATTTCCTCATAACATTTTTTGGTATTTTAATGCTCCATAAAGTTGGTATTTATGCTTTAAGTTTATTATTCTATGGAGGAATTTAAACTTTCATTGAATATTCTCAATTAATATTGATTTGTAAGAAATTACAATAAAAATATACTTACTTTATAAACAATAATATAGAATAATTAACTGAACCTTAATTTTATTAAGAAATAATACCAGATATTCTTTATTCAATAGTTAAGATATTATATTGTTCTTAATTAATTGTTAATTATTTTAGGACAATCAATTTTCATATATTTTTGCATCTTTGGTTATTCTAAATATTTTCAGATTTATAAAGTAATTAAATTTATTAATATTAGGTTCATTATAATCCCTTAAAAAGAATATAGATTAATTAATAAAATATAAAAGAATATAATAACATTTGGATTCATTGTTTCCAAGAGTTTTGGATATTTAAGAAGATGAAATATGCATAATATGTCATGAAGAATTAATTTTAGCAAGAAGTTTGCCTTGTCAACACAAATTTCATTTAAAATGTTTGTTTGGATGGTTAAAAGCCCAATAATAATGCCCAATTTGTAGAGCTGAAGTTCCAATTGAATTAGAATAACCATAATAGATATTTAGTAGAATATTTAGTTTCATAACTTAATTTAGTATCTCAAACTTTACATTCTTTTTCTATATTAATAGTGGTAGACAATAAGACTTTTAATTGACAGAATGGGAAGAATAGGCTTTATTAGGATAATAATTATTACAATAACAATAATAATTACGTTAATAATAATAATAAAGAGACTAGGAATAAATATAATAATTATAATAGGAGAGATAATAACTATAATAATAATAATAATAACTACAATAATAATAGTAATATTTATAGTAATAATAAATCTTACTTCAATAATAATAATAGTAATAATAATAATCAGTTTAAGATTAAAAACAACTTAGTGAAATTAATGATTATCCTGAAAAAATAATTAAATAAAATTCAATTGAGGAATAAAGAGATGATATTTAAATTATATAATAGGAAGATGAAAAGAAAGAGTAAGTAATTAAGGATAATTAAGAATATGAGGAGAAAGAAAATGTAGATTAATAAGGAGAATAAAAGTAATTCTTAGAGAATCAAGAAGAATAATTGGGAAATTAAAAATAAGAATAATAAGAATTAAAAGAATTAAAAGAATAATAAGAACTTAATGTAATAATTGAAAATCAAAATTAAGAAATAGAATAAATTATTTAAAAAGAAATTGAACATTTTGATTTTACTGAATGATAAATAAAATATGTATTAAAATAAAATAAGTTCTATATCATTATTATGAATACTATTGATCCATATCATATCCTTCTCTATTAACACTTTCTCCAAATCCTTATATATCATTTTATAAGGCAGTTTTCTTTATTTTATATCTTGAATATAAATAAGCTAATAAAATAGATAACATAATTAATAAAACTATGAATCCCATCATAATAGAAGCCAAAGTTTCAGTATCATATATGATACCATCTCCATTAGTTATTTTTAGATTAAATTCATCTACATATTAGCATAAGATTAATTATGGAGGAATACCTATTAGTTTTTCTTTTTATGGACAATGAGTTGCATTTATATTTAATTTATAATCAAAACTTCTTCCTATAGATCTATTAGTTCTTGGATTACATCTAATGTAAGGATTTTCAATGATATATGGCATATATATAATAGATTAAGAAGTAATGCCTATTAAGAATGAGTTTGTAATATTATAATTAAAATTGTTACTAATATTAAGTGCTCCTTTATCAACATCATAGAAATCCATTGTCATTAGACTTGGTATAAAAACATATTCTTCATAAAAAGAATTCTATTTCTCTTAATTTACATTATCTTTTTATGAGAATATAAAAGTTGGTTCAAATTTTTCATAAATACCTGTTCTTATTATTCTGTGTTCATCTTTTCCTCTTAATATAGTGAATTCAGGTAAGATATCTATTTCTGAATATTTACCAGTTAAATAATGAACTTTTACTTTAAACCAATCATTTTAATAGAGTCCTATTTCAACTAAAGTATTAATAACTCCTCTTTCTTATAATATTAAGATATAACTATTATTATGTTCTGCTAAAGTAGTTCCATGAGATATTTAAATAAAACCTAAATCTGAATCTAATTAAGCTGTAAATCCAGAAGAATTAGATGAAACAATAAATCTTGTAATTCCATTTAATTAATCAAGGACATACATATATTTTTAATTTTCAAATCCTCCAAATACTACATCAACTATCTTAATATTATTTATTTAATTATAAAAAGTAGTTGAATTCATATTACCAATTAAAGTTAATTCTCCATTTTCTTCATATTAATAAATGTCTAATCCATCTACTCCAATTGGAACAAAAATATGCCAACCAAATACTTTAACTTAACCTAAATAATTGTTATCATTTTCAAATCCTTAATTTGTTATATTCTTTAAAACAAATGAACTTAAATTATCATAATTCACTTTTCCTCCTATTATTTAATTTCTATAAATTAAATAAATGTATTATGTTTAATCAGTATATATCATTTATGGAGGTTCAATTATTTTTGCCTCTTAACGTAAATGTTGAAAAGAATAGTTTGCTTCTAATTAAATGTCATGTCCAATAATGTTTGATGAGTTTTTATTAACTCTATAAAGTAAAATTTGATTATTGCTTGTCACAATGGCAATAGCTTTTTTAATGTGTACCATATTCAACAAAACAGGTATATTTAGTAATAATTCTGGATCATTTGTTTATAAATCAGGTAATTCAAATATTTTTTAACTATAGATTGAATAATCACCAAATTATATTGATCCTTATTTAACAAAACAAACACTTCCTTTTTATTTTGATTCCAATTTAGCATCAATCACATACTTTGCTTAAGGATAATCTCTGATATTTAATTACTCTGTTACAACTATATTGATTTATTCTGATTCAGATATTTTATTGAATAGAAAATGAGTTGTAAGATTAGTAAGTTCTTTTGCTAAAATTGTTTATAAGATAAAAAATATCATTATTTTTATTAATTCAAATTTAATGAGTACACTCTTTGTTAAATGTATACAATGTAATTAGAGACCTGCAACAATCAAATGTCAATAATGTAAATAAGGATAAACGATCAGATTATGTTACAATTGTGATTTAATAGTCCATAATAAATAAGCGCCAATTGATTAATAACACAAAAAAGAAATCATTCCTTACTAAGGTGAGTAATGAAATCTCATTAAAAATAGAAATGTATTCAAAAGCTCCACAAAATTCAAGTGCCATTAATCTAGGCAATAAAAATGATTAATAAATTTAATCAAAAAAATAATAGCTTTAACAATAACAAGTATAATCTAAAGTTCCTATTTAAATTAAATAAGAACTTCCTTAATATGTTTAGAAGCCAATTCAAAATATTGTTAAAGTGTCACAATAATTACCACAAAAAGAAATTAACTTTTCTAATCAAAGATAAAATAATATAATAAAAAATGAATCTAAAGATGAAGAATATTAAAATAATTCTTAAAAAAATTCAGTATTTCATTTTAATTTAGATTTTAGGATTAAAAAAATTAATCACTCATTAATTAATTAAAAGAAGAAAAAGAATAGAGTTAACAATTATAAAAAGAGTTAAAATAAACTTAAGATTATTTAAATTAAGTGAATAAAGAGGTGGAAAAAAAAATGTAAATTTATATTATAATTATTTTATAAAGAAAATAATCATAACAAGATTTGGAAAAAAAGTTGAATGATTTAAAAAAAGAAAGTGAAGAAGAAAAGAAAAAAACATAAAGTCTTACAGCTGATGTTAAAAAACTCAAAGATTAGTTAAAAAATGCAGAAGCATAAACATAAAAAAAGTTAGATTAATAAAAAAAATAATATGAAAAATAAATGTAAGAATTAGAATAAGTGATTCTGGAAAAATAATAGTAAATTGATGAAATTGCTTAAGAATTTTAGAATTATAATTTGGAAGATATATAAGCCAAAATGGAAGAAATGGCAAATGATATAAATATGAAAGATTAATTAATTGAATAATTTTAGACTCAATTATAAAATGGAGAAGGAAATCAAAAAGAAGATTAAAATATAAATAAAGAAGATATTTTATAAGAAATAGAATAGAAAGATTAAGAAATTAAAAAATTAGAAGAACTAATTGAAAATTTCAAATAATTATATTAACACATGTTAGATGAAAAATAAGTTATTATGGAAGAAAATGAAAAATTAGCAAATGAAAATGATTAATTTAGAGAAATTTTCAGTGTATTTTGATATCTAATTTAGTAAAATCTACATTTATTTGGAATTGACCCTAATTAATTAGAAGAAGAAGGAGAAGGAGAAGGAGAGGGAGAAGATAGAGAAGGAGAAGAAGTAGGTATATATTTAATTTAATTAATGAGATAATTGAGGAAGATGAGATCAATAAATCATTTGATATTTATATTAAAGATCATTTTCCATATATTATATAAGAATTAAGCCAATTTTTATATCTATCTTTAGATGACATTTTTCTAAGAAATAATTTTTAGAATTGTTTATTTTTCTAAATTTTTTAGATTTAAATTGTAATTATATTATATTTTAAATGAAATTAAAAACAGCTATTGTCTTCTTAGATTATTCTTTGAAACCTAGAGTATTTTAATTAGAAAGATATGCTATAAAAAAATTAGAAAAACCAGATGGCTATAAATTAATATATTTTAAAGAATTCGAAAAAGCACAATAATTTGCAAATTAAGCTTAATAATTATTAGAATTGAAGCAAGTTGAATAATTATAATAAATGATGATGTCTGATATCAGATTAATAAAAGAAAGAAAGTATTATATCTAAATAATTGTTTAGTGAAAAAGATGGATAAATTAGAGAAATTAGTGTTTAATAATAATAATAAAATGTTTTCGAAAAGACTAATAATGTAGAAAATACAAAAATATAAAATAGTTAATTTAACTACAAATAGGAGAATAAAGTAAATAACTAGTATTAAATTGATGATATTAACTAAAAAGATTGTTATGGCATTTTGGATGAGATTGAAGATAAAATGAAGAAGACATCTATTAGTAGATAGAGATTAGTAAAATTAGAGTAATTAGATTAATAATTTGCAAATCTATTATTTTATTATCCAAAAACTTTAGAAATTATTCCAATTTAACCTGATAAACTATACACAATTTATTTTGATGGTGCAAGTAAATCTAATCCTGGTCCTGCAGGTGCTGGAATAGCATTATTTGATAAAATGAAATTAATTAAAGAAATTACATAACCTTTATCAAAATAAACAAATAATGTAGCTGAATTTTTGGCATTGTTTTTTGGAATAAGATATACTTTGAATTTAGGAATTAATTATTTAGAATGTTTTGGTGATAGTAAAGTATTGAGATCATTAATTATTAGCTTATAATTGATGGAATGAATAATAAGATAAATTTTAAGCAGTAACATTTAGAAGACATTAGAGTAGCAATATTTGATTATGCATAATTATTTAAGATGGTTAGATATACTCATATCTCAAGAAATTAAAATGAAATAGCTGATAAATTGGCATCAACAGCTGCTTAATTGTCAAAAAAAAATGAGTTATGAGTTTTTAATATTAATTTATAATCAAAAAAGAAAATACAAATAAATCAAGATTCATATTCTATTATTATTAGAAATCCTTAAATAAAATAATACCTTATCTCTATTTTAATAAAAATACTTAATAATAATAATATGTGATGATTTAAAAAAGAAAGGGGTAACTTTTTAAATAAGTACTAATGTTAAACTTAAACTTAATATATATTTAACTTTAATTTTAAAATTTTAATAAATATTTTTTAGATTTTAATATAAAAGATGCTAATCTAGGAAATACAATGAAAATTTATAAATTATGTATATATGATATTTCAAAATAACACTACTAAAATAAGAAGATTGAAAACGATTAATAAACTTGTCTAAGAATTATCAACCTATATTTTATATATTTAAATTGATTACTGGACAATATAAACAAGATGATCCATTCCAAATGCAAGAATTAGCATTACATGATGATGGAGTTGTATAAGTAGAACAAGCAACATATAAACAGTTTCCATTTTACCATGAACATTCATAAGAAGCCATTCTGCTACATTCATATTACTATTAATGATGATAGAAAATACACTTTCCATATCAGAACATTTTAAGTTACTAAAACTCTCACATTATTTCTTTTTTTAAATGCAATAGGGTATAGAATTGCAATCATTGTTATCCAAAGATAATTTATTACATGTTTCAAATTTAAGGCAACTCTAAGTTTATGAATTCCAAAAGCATTATATTCCTGTTGGAGTTATGCCATTACATTTATTTTAAGTTGTATAATTACAATCTTCATAGGGAAGACAATAACCATCATTTTCAATACATCCAAATATTTGATTACAAATTGATTTATCAGTATAATAATTGCACTATTATCCATCATGACATGCATCCAAATACCAAGCACATTAAGGAGTTATACATTTCCATTAAATTGTTGTCTCTGTACAATTAGGTTGATAACAATTTTTTCCATTCCAATTACATCCTTAAAATGATGAACAATATTAAGGTTATGTAAAATTAGAACATTAACATTGTTCTGACCCTTAGATCACTTCTATAATAAACACTATAGCAATTAGTTTTTTCATAATTACAAATTTATTTATTAAAGTTTAGTATTCATTATTGGTATTGTGTATTGTGGTTTCTATGTTTTATAATTATATTATTAAATGATTTTCATATTATTATTTTCTTTTTAGAAACCGACAAATTCAAAATTTTTGATTTACTAAAGTCTTACTGCTATACTCTATTATATTATTTTAGTCCATTATTTATTTTAATTAAATAGTATATTATACATTTGTACGATTTTATTAGAGAAAGTCAATGAAGTATGAATTTCAAAAACAACATTATTAATGGCCTTTGTATTATTTTAAAGAATAGAATTTTGAAGAGGAGATTTGGATGATTTATTTGCATCAAAAAAGTTTTAATTTATTAAATTTCACATTCTTCTTTATAACTCATTATTTCATAGAATTGATAAATTATTTATGTATTAATAAATTATTTTAAATTTATGATTTAAAGAGAGATTGTTGAGATCTTATAATGATTATTAATAGTATTATATATTATTAAGGATATTTAATTAGTTTTACAATAAAAAAATAAATTACATTACATTTATACATTTATATTTTGTTAAAAAAATTCATTCGATTAAATATCTATTTTCTTTACTTGGTAAACCAGTTTAAGGTCTAGATGCATATGAGATAATATGAGAGACAGATTTGCCTCTTCTACTTGGTTCAGGCTACTTAATTTCAATATTTTGTGATTAGTTTTTACTCATACTTTAACTTGCTATAATAAATTAAATTTTACCTTTCTTTCTTAAATAGAATGGAGGTAATTATGCTATTTGATTCTCTTATCTTAAGCTAGTTTATAGGAATCTATTATTTTTATTATTTAACAATAAGATCTATTTTTATATTTGGGATATTGATTGATTAATTGAGAATCTCTTAATCCTAGATTTAAGTTGTTTGGAGTTATCATTGAGTGATTAATTATTATTGTCAAAAGAAGATTGCCGTTACAATTTTGCATTATCAAATGAACTTACATTATCATATTAGATAGTTTAAAGTTTTGATGGTATTTATTTGTTGTCGTATATATACCTATAATCTTAAGGTCTTATTGGAAAATTATAAATGATGCATCCTGTATTTAATTCTTTTTTTAAATTAGGAAATTTGCGTGACTGTATTGTATTGAGGCTTTACAATTTTTCAACAACTTCTAGATCTAAAATACCCTTAATTCGTTTTTCAGATTCTTTTTCAACATTGGTTTTTGATTTATGGATAATTGAGGTTTTTATCATATAGAATTATTTATTATTATAATATATATGATGTAAAATATACTAAATATATATATATCAACCATTTTAGCTATTATAATTAAGTAAAATACCTTGAACTTCTTGATGAATGAGAAACATTTGCACTTTCACTCGATGATTTAGGACTCACACTTCTTTAATGACGAGTTTTCCTTTGGTTTCTACTTCTTCTTCTAGATCTTGATGATGAATCTGAAGACTTAGAAGAAGATGTTGATCTTCTCTTTTTAGTATCTCTTCTTGACCTTCAATAAAATTCTTGAATATATAAATTACTTTCTTGTAACACTTGGAGTTCTTGACTTTGGACAATCCTTTCTTAAATGGCCCTTCTAATAACATCTATAACATGTATCACGTAAATCGCCTAAACTCTACTTTATCACCAACCTTCTTTGCAATCATTCGCCCAATGACCTTTACGTCCACAATTGAAACACACATCTCTGGCTGTTGGTCCATTTGCTCCTAAATGTCGATTATCTTATCATCAATCTATCAAAGTCGTCCTACCTCTTGATTTAACAGTGATACGATCACCACCAATTCGTTTGCCATCCATTTATGATATTGCTTTCTTAGCATCATCACGACCTTCAAACTCAATAAAGGCATGTGTGCTTCGTAAATCAATATCCTTTATTTTTCCATATCTCTAGAACTCTTTCTGTAAATCTTCTCTTGTTATTTTTTATCCCAATCTGCCAACATATATTTGTCGACTCATTTAAATAACTTAAATAAATATTTATGTTGAATTTTCAAATTATTAAGTTAATCGATTATTATAGAAAATGATTTTTCTAAATTTTGAGTTTGAATATTGTAAATCTTTATTTTTGTTAATAATATTTATACATTTAAGATTCTTATTAAATCTTTTATTGATATTTGTTAAAAAATAAAATACTATCATGTTATCATATACATATTAATTTATAATCTTTATATTTTTGAGAATTAAACTCCTTTTAATTTTATTATAGTAAGCAATAAGAAGTTTAATTACATTAGTTAATTTGATTTTATATTATATAGTAGGAAAAATATAATTCAAATAATTAGATTTAAAAGGGACTATTATTTTGATTTGATTGCTCAAAAAGATTGAAAAATTTTCTTTTTTTCTTAAAAGTAATCCTTAATCAAAATAAATAATACAATTTTAATTATCTCAATAGATAATATTAACTGAAGATTTATAATTTCTCCATAGTTAATTATTTTAGTTAGTATAAATTGAATTAGAATTTAAAGTTATTTTTAATAATTTCTATATATCAAACAATAAGAATAATAAAAAGAATTTATCTTAATTTATTAAAAATATATACCTATGTCTAACAACAATCATTCTGATGATGAAGAGATGTTTGTAATAATTATGATAATTATTTTAGCTTGTAAGCAAAATTTAAGCATAAAAAGTGGAAATAGAGTCTCTCTAAAAATAATTACGGGTTTAAGAATTTCAATTTAAACAACAGATTTTAGAAGTATTTTAAATATTAATGATAAGCTTACTAATGAGCTTGAGAGAGAGAGAAAGAGAACAATTGAATTAGAGAATGAAATAACTACATAAATTAGTTCAATAGGGTAGAGTGAAATTTAATCATTTGCTACTTAACTTGAATTAAAGTTGTCAGAAGCTGAAAATATGTTGTTAGAATATAAAGCTAATGAAGTTTATTATGTGAATAAATTTATAGTTGAAATTGCAAAAAGAAATTTAAAATTTAAAAAGAAAGCCTGATAATGAAGAAATAGATGAATTAAAATAATAGTTAGTTAAAATGGAGGAAACAGCAATTGCATTAATTGTTGAAAAAGAAAAAGTTATATAAGATCTAAAAAGTCAACTTGAATGTTCAACATAAATTTAAGAAACTTTTCATGATTAAATACATAGTTCTGATGTAGATGATGAAAAGGATATTAAAATATAAAATTTAAAATAATTAGTATAAGAATTGAACTAGAAAATAGAATAAGACTAATTGAATTTTGATGAAAGATTAATGAAATTAGAGCATGAAATTACAGAAAGAGTATTAGATAGTATTAGTCATTAAATAAATGAATCAAAATCAGTAGAATAAGATTTACTTCATTAAATCAATCTTTATGAAGAGAAAATAAAGAATTAAGATAAATTATTAGTTAGTTAGGAGAAATTATTATAATAAGTTAAAGATGAAAAGTATAAGGAAGTTAGTTTTTATGAAGGTAGACATGTAGATATGTAAAAGAAATTATCATCTGCATTATAATAAGTATTAAAAAGTGATAGAAAATCTGAAGATGCATTTAAATAATATACTAATTTATAGAGAGAGAGAACTATACTTTAAAAATAAAGAGATGAATAAGTTAAATTAAATGTTAAATTGGAAAATAATATAAGAAAATAAATTTAAGATATGGATGAACTTAGATAATTTAATAATAATTGTTAATAATAAATTGATGATTTAGAATAATAAGTTAATCATTTAGAATAATAATTACAAGAAACTAAATTTTATTATGAAGAATAATTATAAATGCAAAAGATACATATACCTAGTGAAAGATAACATTCATAATAAGAAGAATAAGGATAGGGAGGAAATTTATTAAGTGAATTATTAACAGAAGAAGTATCAATAGAAAAACCTCATAATACTTAATAGAGTGAAGATAGTTTCCATTAATAATAAATACCATAAACACCTTAATCTAAAAATGGTTTAGTACATATGTTTGCATCATCTAGAATCTCAAATACAAGTGTCAATACTAAAAGAAGATATTAAGAAATAGAATAATTAAAAANGTTGTTAGAATATAAAGCTAATGAAGTTAATTATGTGAATAAATTTATAGTTGAAATTGCAAAAAGAAATTTAGAGTTTAAAAAGAAAGCCAGAGAATGAGGAAATAGATGAATTAAAATAATAGTTAGTTAAAATGGAAGAAACAGCAATTGCATTAATTGTTGAAAAAGAAAAAGTTATATAAGATTTAAAAAGTCAACTTGAATGTTCAACATAAATTTAAGAGACTTTTCATGATTAAGTACATAGTTCTAATGTAGATGATGAAAAGGATATTAAAATTTAAAATTTAAAATAATTAGTATAGGAATTAAATTAGAAAATAGAATAAGACTAATTGAATTTTGATGAAAGATTAATGAAATTAGAACATGAAATTACAGAAAGAGTATTAGATAGTATTAGTCATTAAATAAATGAATCAAAATCAGTAGAATAAGATTTACTTCATTAAATCAATCTTTATGAAGAGAAAATAAAGAATTAAGATAAATTATTAGTTAGTTAGGAGAAATTATTATAATAAGTTAAAGATGAAAAGTATAAGGAAGTTAGTTTTTATGAAGGTAGACATGTAGATATGTAAAAGAAATTATCATCTGCATTATAATAAGTATTAAAAAGTGATAGAAAATCTGAAGATGCATTTAAATAATATACTAATTTATAGAGAGAGAGAACTATACTTTAAAAATAAAGAGATGAATAAGTTAAATTAAATGTTAAATTGGAAAATAATATAAGAAAATAAATTTAAGATATGGATGAACTTAGATAATTTAATAATAATTGTTAATAATAAATTGATGATTTAGAATAATAAGTTAATCATTTAGAATAATAATTACAAGAAACTAAATTTTATTATGAAGAATAATTATAAATGCAAAAGATACATATACCTAGTGAAAGATAACATTCATAATAAGAAGAATAAGGATAGGGAGGAAATTTATTAAGTGAATTATTAACAGAAGAAGTATCAATAGAAAAACCTCATAATACTTAATAGAGTGAAGATAGTTTCCATTAATAATAAATACCATAAACACCTTAATCTAAAAATGGTTTAGTACATATGTTTGCATCATCTAGAATCTCAAATACAAGTGTCAATACTAAAAGAAGATATTAAGAAATAGAATAATTAAAAATAGAATTACATTCTATAAAACATGAAAATGAGTAATATATAATTCTATTATCTTTAGATAATTAGCAGAAGAAATATAAAATTATGAACATTTAGTTGGTGTATTATAATAAGAGATAAAAGCATAATTATTAGAAATATAGAACTTAAGAAAAGGAAAACTTGATTATTCTTAAGAAAGAGATTTGAGAATAGATTAAGAATAATTAAAATAATCACTTCATAAACTAGAAACTCATTTTATTACAGCAAAATTAAGTTGGGCTGAAGAAATAAATTTCTTAAAATCAGAAGTTAAAAGAGCTGAAAAATAAGCATAAGAAAGCACTTTATTATATAATTAAATATTAACAGAAAAAGAGTATTTTTAATCCAAATTGAAGAAACTTGAAACATAAATAACAAAAAAAGAAAAAAAAAATATAATTTCTCAAAATGCTCCTTTAAGTCCTCTTAAAGTAGATGAATAAACAGTGAAAAAAAAAGGATTTTTATCATATTTCGGAAAATGAAATATAAAATTTTCTTGATAATATATTAAAATTTTAGAATTTTGAATAAATTTTGATTAATAAAAACAATTTATGATATAATTCATAAGAAGCAATAGAATAAATTTTACAAAATATTTAATAAGATAAAATTACATTTAAATGCTTTTTATTATAACTTTTATTTAATAAAAAAATGAATTTAGTGCATAATAAATAGAATTTAATTTTGTAAATTATATATTCATACTAAAAATATAAACACATAATTATTTACAAAAATAATTATCTAATTATCTTTAATTATTGTATATAAAGTCTAAAATTTAGAAAATATATAATAATTAATAAATAAATATATATAATTATATATACACAATGAATCGAGATTTACAGCCACCTTATAAATTAGACCCAGATTCAACAGAAAGGATAATAAAAGATTTATTGATTTATAAAGATGCTCAATTAAAAGTCATCCTTAAAAAATATATTGAAATCACAGCACCTTAAGAAACATTAAGTGAAGAAAAATTGTAATTAAATCGACTAAATAAAAAGACAACAATTAGCTGCTGAATTTTAAAAAGAAATAGCTGTTTATGAATTTTAAATAGCAAAGGCAACTAGATAGCTGGAAGCATAAAATTTTGATAGAGAATAAAATTAAGAATTAAATAAATCAATAAGTAATTATTATATTGAATTTCTTAGTTGAAGGAATAAAATAAACTGATTTGGAAATAGAAAATTTGAAGAGTGTATATTAGATTGAGGAATAAATAAAAATTAATAGATAACATTATGAAAATTTATCAAAATAAATATGCAGTTATGAAAATGTGAATAATGTTGTTAAAAATATTGAAGTGGCTACAAAAAACATAGAATAATTAAAGATACAACATAAATAAGCAGCAGAATTAATAAAAATTAAAGAAAAATAATTATTCATGATGGTATTTATAAAATAATATAAATTAAAGTTGCATCTAATGTAGGATTTAATTGAAGTGAAGTATGAATAATGATGGTCTGAATATTTTGTTTTGAATATTATAAAATTAAATGATTTAAAAATAAATATAGAAAAACTCAAATTAATTAATCAAATTTTTGCTTTAAATACAAATTTAATTAAGATTATTCAATAATTATTTTAGTAAAGGAAATGGATAAGTTGAGTTCAAAGTTAGACAAATTTTATACAGATTTTTATAAAGTTGAAAACAAAAAAAGAAATAATACAGCCTCAAATCATATAGATCTAAATACTTCATTGGATGAACAATTTAAAGATCTTGACTTAATTAAATGCAAAGATTAATGTTCCGATTATGAAGACTGAGCATCATGAATTATTGATTGATGATTGTTTTAGATTAAAAATATGTATTAGAACTTAAAAAACTTTTATTTTAAGTTATAATTTTCTGTTTAAATTTCAAAGAAGAAAATCATTAGAGTATTAAAAATGTTTATCTTTTACCATAATAACTATAATTCATTAATATATATTATATAATGTCAGATGAATTCAAACAAAAGTTCTTCTAAATTTTATAGTTTGTGCCCAAAGTTTAATAAATTCATTTCACAAGAATTATTTGAAGATGAACTTTATTTTATTAAATGAGCTTGCTTTATATTAATAACACAATTTCTAAGGCCATGATAAAGTTTAATAGGAATTTCCTAAATACAAGAATTCCATAAATTTTATGATTTAATCAAACCTTAAATTTAATCAAAAAATACCGTTTATTATATGTAATCTTCCATTCAAAGAAATTGGATTATATCTAGGGTCTTATTTTTCTTCATGAGATTATATGAGAGAATTCCAGAAATGAAATCCCAATTCTGGCATATCAATAGGGCAAGTTTAAAATACTTCCTTTGATTTTTTCAAAGTATCTGTCAGCATCTCATCTATTTCACAAAATCCATTAATAATAAGTAATCCCCCAATCTTATGAAGATTATTCTATATATGAGTCACTAAATTAAAAATATTTTATTACTATAACTTAGAACTTAGAATCCACCATATCCATATCCAATAAATTTATATATGTCATTATTTCTAATTATATCCTTTTGACAAAGCTCAAAAAGTAATGAATCCAATAATAATGAAATATCTAAATTATCTTAAATAATATTAGGATCAAACACTGTATAGGACTACCCTAAAATAAAAAATAAGCTTTACCTGGTAAATTCATTAATAAAATAGTAGTATTTGGTTTAATATTCTATTGCATAATATCTAAATATTCAAATGAATTATCAAAAAAATCTCCTAAAAAAATTACTATCTGATGATCTTTTTCAGTTAAATCTAAACCACTTTAATTGTCCTTATTAATTTCTTGATCATCTTCTTAGTGTTATAAAATTAAATATGGTATTGCACATTATTCAAAGCAAAAATAGTTTACAGACTCCAAAAATATATCTGGTACACTTTCAGGGGGATATTCTAAATCATAGAGTTGGCAAACATCTAATAAAGAATATTGAGTCTATGGAACTTCAATAATTCTTAGTTTACCCTAAAAGAAGGATTATCTATTAGAATTCAATTACCTTTAACTTTTATTGATTCTATTTCTTTAAAATTAATCTGATTGACTATCTGATCTCTTTAAATGCTAAGATTCCATTAAACTTCTTTAAGATTAAAGACCACCAGAATTCATTTTTGCAGATTAAATTTTATTTGGTTTTGGAGGTTTTGTGTAATTTAAAAAACCCATAGTTAATCTATTTATATCAATATTATTGGTTTTAGAACTGGAACAATTCCGTTTTGTGTTTTCTAATTAGGTTTATTAATTAGGCATAAATAATTTAAATGTTTTAGGAGCCTATGAATGAGCAGATTGAATAACTCTGAATTGTTTTGCACTTTATATTTTCCTAACTTTATTTTCACCTTATTCTTTTTCTGCATTATTTTATGATGTTTGAGTTTTTATTTTTTATAAAGATTAATTTTAATTTTATCTAATTCGTGAATCATTTCTTTTTAAGTTAGATCTATCTAATTATGATAATTATTAATGAGTAGTATTTAAACTAGTTTATTATTAGGCTAAGGATGATGAATCCCTTTTAATCCATTATTTTTATTATAAATCATTAGATAATCTCTAATCAAAATATTTACTAGCTAAAGAGTAAACAACAAAGCAATTTTTACATATTTTAACAGTTTTATAGAGATTTGGTAAATTATAAACTTCTGTTTTATTAAATTTAAATGGATATTCTTCATCTGTATTTATTTTATCAAATTCTTAAAAATGATGCTTAGAGTTTCTTGTAAATATTTTATTTTTCATTAACACTTCTATAACTTCTTATGAACATTCTCTTGTTCTAAGAATTAATTAAAAAGAGATCTCATGTGGTAAAGTAACTGAAAACTTTTCTTCATTCATTTTTTTATTACCAAAATACTTTTTATAATCTGTAACAATATTTTTACGTATTTAAAGTGGACCTCTATTCTTTTCTTCCATTATATAGTCACAAAAATCACCAACACATTTTTATACAATAAGATTTTTATATAATTTTTGACTAATTTCTTTATCATCTTCATATATTGTTTAAGGTATTTTCATTGGTTTTTTATCCCTTAGTCTTGTAAACATTTTTATTAAAATTAAGAAATTTTCAAATGAACTATTGTCCTTTAATTCATTTTTCATATTTTAAATCTCATATGGTGCATTATCATTAAAATCTACTAATAATTCTTTCAAACCTAAGAAATATATTATCTGTTAATCATTTTGCATAAATTTAGCAACTAATTTCTTAACTTTAATCTTATAAGCTTTTTCTAAAAAATCAACTAACTTTTTAACAATCTAAAATTTATAAATTTTTATTTACTTTCGACAATGTTTAATTCATTTAATTATCAAAAAATTTAAACATACAATCTACATACTCAATTTGATCATTTTTATTACAATCATCATAACTGTCAGAATGTTAAGTCTATTATTATATATGTAATTATGATAATTTTTTTGGCAATTATTATTAAATTACTTATTTCTAAGTTGACTTTTTAAAAAATCTATAACTGACAGGTAAATTAATAACATCTTGCCTATATTCAACATAAAATAATTCATCTAATTTTTTATATTATTATTAATACCAGCTTTTGATTAATTCTCCAAATGCTCCTGCAATATTTATAAACCACTAATATTTCCATCTAAAAACATTTTAACCAAATCAACTTTTGATATTGATTTTTTTGTCTTGCTTATTCTTGCAAAAGCAGTAATTTCATTCTTACCAGTCTTAATAATATCTAAAAGAGTTGTAAGAGTATCAATTCGAAATTCTTCATTTTGTTTTACTCTACATAATACTCTGCATATTTCTACAAAATTCAATTTATTAGAATTCTTTTTTAATATTAGTGGAGTAGGAGAAGATTTTGAATTGAATAACCATAATGTTGCAGTACCTTTTGAAAATATAATTGTTTAAGGTATTATAATATCACATTTTAATTTTTTTTTTGTAAACATCTCTAAAAAGTAAATTGGTGAACTCAAATGAATATAATTTTCATCTCTTTTATCAAAGAATACAGATTTCTTTTTCTCATTCATTTTAACAAATTATAATTATATTTTTAAACATAATATTTATAATTCGAAGAATTCAAATTCAAGAACAGATAATCAATATTTAATAATAATAAATCATCAAATAAGTCTAACTTTTTGCTTATTCTACTATTCTTATTCCTTTTTCTTAAGATGATTTTAATATTCATCAATAACCTTCTACATATGTTTTAATTTTTGCTAAAATATTATATAAACATATAAGTAATACCTCTAATTACTCTAATTCAATTTTTAATTAATCAATATTTTTTTTTCTATTACTATAATCTTATATCAATTCAGGACGATTCACAATACTATTTTAATTATTTATAAATACCCTGTCTATTATTTTAATTTAAGATTTTCAGTTCTTAATTTATCTTTAGATTCTTTTTATTCTCCTAAGTTTTTACGTAATCCCTCTAAATCATCCTTTTTTTTTTCTAAAATAAAATCATATATTATATTACAATTAATCTTTTCTTAATCTTAAAATTTTGCTTTAACATAACCTAATTTCTCTCTAGTATGTGTTAACATTTAAACTGTCTTAGTATTTTTATTCTTTAATTTATGTAGATCTTCATTTCTTTCTTCAATCTTTTCATTCAATGTTTGATTTTCAATCTTTAATTATTCAAAATCAATTAAATGTAAACCTTCTGCTAATTCTTCTTTCTTTTTTAATTACTTTTAATTTTTTGCTAAAGTATTTTTTAATCTTAATGTATCAAGTCTTAATTCTTATAAAGTTTTATTTTTAGCTGATTCTTATTCTTCCCATTCTGATATTCTAGATTCAGGAATAGGTTTATCTGTTCTAGAATAAGCAGCCTTACGTGCAACTTCTCTTTTCAAATCCATAAATGCTTATCTAATTTCATTACATTTTTTTGATTTTTCATCTAATTTTGATTATAATTCTTATGCCATTTAATTATATCTATCTTAAGTTTATTAGAGATCTAATCTAATTTAATGTACATGAGCTAATGTATTTAAATATTTATGTTCATTCATTGTCATTTCTCCAGTTTTATCAGCATAAACTTCTTATTTATTTCTTATTTATTTAATTTTTGATTATAAATTAACATTATGATCATAAAGTTCATCATGTTATCTTTATGCTTCTGCAATAGCAATTTCTAATTCTTCTTTAATATCTTTATTAGATAATTATTATTCTTTTGGCATTTAAAATTTATGAATAAATTCATCTTCCTTTTATTTTTGATTTTCATCTTAAGATAAATTATCTTTATTTTAATCTTCACTATTTTAATCATCTAATTATTAAATAGGAGATTCTTATAAAGCTTATTAGGCCTATTCTTCTTATTAATGAGATTATAATGCCTCTTATTCTTCATGAGCATATCTTGGATCAGGGTAGAAGATCACTGGTATTCTCAGTTTTAATTCAATATGTTTTAAGTTTAATTTTTCTCTTGTGCTTTTTTTATAAGGAATGGATTCTGGTGTATTTCTAGTATATAAATCAATGTATTATCTGATATCATATGTGCATGGCTATCCCTGATTTCCAATTTTAGCAACAAAACATTTAGTTTATCTATCAAATTCAATATGTTCAGGTCCTATTTTATTATTTTCATTTTTATCAGGTACTTTACCAGAATCACTAGAAAAAGGTAATATTTATAAAGCATATACACCTACTAAATCTTCAAGCATCTTTCCATGAACTAAAATGCATCCATCATTACTATCTTCAATTTTAGTAACACATAAGTCTTTATGACTTACAATATATACAATAGCAACTTAATTATCATCACATGACACACCAATGGAGATATGATTCATTTCATTAGATAACAATATTTTTCTATCATCTTCAACTTCAAAAAATAGATAACCCATTTCCATAAAATAATCATAAATAACTTATGCATCAGGTATAGTATCTTCTNATTTTCAATTTTTAATTATTCAAAATCAATTAAATGTAAACCTTCTGCTAATTCTTCTTTCTTTTTTAATTACTTTTAATTTTTTGCTAAAGTATTTTTCAATCTTAATGTATCAAGTCTTAATTCTTATAAAGTTTTATTTTTAGCTGATTCTTATTCTTCCCATTCTGATATTCTAGATTCAGGAATAGGTTTATCTGTTCTAGAATAAGCAGCCTTACGTGCAACTTCTCTTTTCAAATCCATAAATGCTTATCTAATTTCATTACATTTTTTTGATTTTTCATCTAATTTTGATTATAATTCTTATGCCATTTAATTATATCTATCTTAAGTTTATTAGAGATCTAATCTAATTTAATGTACATGAGCTAATGTATTTAAATATTTATGTTCATTCATTGTCATTTCTCCAGTTTTATCAGCATAAACTTCTTATTTATTTCTTATTTATTTAATTTTTGATTATAAATTAACATTATGATCATAAAGTTCATCATGTTATCTTTATGCTTCTGCAATAGCAATTTCTAATTCTTCTTTAATATCTTTATTAGATAATTATTATTCTTTTGGCATTTAAAATTTATGAATAAATTCATCTTCCTTTTATTTTTGATTTTCATCTTATGATAAATTATCTTTATTTTAATCTTCACTATTTTAATCATCTAATTATTAAATAGGAGATTCTTATAAAGCTTATTAGGCCTATTCTTCTTATTAATGAGATTATAATGCCTCTTATTCTTCATGAGCATATCTTGGATCAGGGTAGAAGATCACTGGTATTCTCAGTTTTAATTCAATATGTTTTAAGTTTAATTTTTCTCTTGTGCTTTTTTTATAAGGAATGGATTCTGGTGTATTTCTAGTATATAAATCAATGTATTATCTGATATCATATGTGCATGGCTATCCCTGATTTCCAATTTTAGCAACAAAACATTTAGTTTATCTATCAAATTCAATATGTTCAGGTCCTATTTTATTATTTTCATTTTTATCAGGTACTTTACCAGAATCACTAGAAAAAGGTAATATTTATAAAGCATATACACCTACTAAATCTTCAAGCATCTTTCCATGAACTAAAATGCATCCATCATTACTATCTTCAATTTTAGTAACACATAAGTCTTTATGACTTACAATATATACAATAGCAACTTAATTATCATCACATGACACACCAATGGAGATATGATTCATTTCATTAGATAACAATATTTTTCTATCATCTTCAACTTCAAAAAATAGATAACCCATTTCCATAAAATAATCATAAATAACTTATGCATCAGGTATAGTATCTTCTTCAAATTTGGATACAATATAAATCAATTTAAGATCATCTAATTTTTTTTCATTATACTTATAAAATTCGATTCTATTCAAAATTAATTATTTTAATATTACAATTTCTTAAATTCAGCATCACTATGATCATTATCAAGTAAATGAGAAGCATATCTTTCTGCTACAATTGCAGGCATTAATTCTATATATAATGGATTCAGTTTCTTTTCCCTTCTTATTCTATTTACATTTTCTAATAAATCCCTTTTAACTTTTCTTAAGATCTCATCTGGATCATATTCATCATTTTATTCTCTTCTTCCTGGACTATGTTTTGATTCTTCAGCATTATCTTATTAAAATTAAGATGAACTTCCCATTCCTTGATTCATCTACCTTTAGTCTTATTCTTAATCATCAACTTCTTCATCACCTCCTTCTTCTTCATCTTCTTCCTCTCCTTAATTATATTATCCTATATTAATATGGATAACTGTTTGTTACCATGCATTGCCAAAAATTATTATTACTATTCTGGTGTCATATTTTCAAAATCAAATTCTTAGTCATCACCTTCCATATCACCTTCTTAATCTCCTTCTTGCTCATCATAATATTCATCATGATCTTATTCACTCATTTTTATTATTATTTAGATTAATTAATATTATCTTAATTATTAATAAAAATGTCATCAACAGGCAACTTAAATGATAAATTTGATACTAGTTTTGTGTATCTCTTCAAATACATAATTATAGGAGATATGGGTAAAGAATGATAATAATAGTTAAGCTGTTGGTAAGAGTTGCCTATTGATGCAATTTATAGATAAAAGATTCCGATCAAAGCATGATGTCACTATAGGAGTTGAATTTGGAGCTAGAATCATTAGAATTTAAAATGTTGCTATTAAATTGTCTATATGGGACACAGTATCTAAAATATTTTTATTATTGAGGCAGGTTAAGAGTCTTTTCGATCAATTACTAGATCTTATTATCGATCATCTGCTGCTGCTATTATTGTATATGATATAACAAAGTAATCAATCAAGATATATTCTTAATTAGGAGANAATTTCCAATTTTAGCAACAAAACATTTAGTTTATCTATCAAATTCAATATGTTCAGGTCCTATTTTATTATTTTCATTTTTATCAGGAACTTTACCAGAATCACTAGAAAAAGGTAATATTTATAAAGCATATACACCTACTAAATCTTCAAGCATCTTTCCATGAACTAAAATGCATCCATCATTACTATCTTCAATTTTAGTAACACATAAGTCTTTATGACTTACAATATATACAATAGCAACTTAATTATCATCACATGACACACCAATGGAGATATGATTCATTTCATTAGATAACAATATTTTTCTATCATCTTCAACTTCAAAAAATAGATAACCCATTTCCATAAAATAATCATAAATAACTTATGCATCAGGTATAGTATCTTCTTCAAATTTGGATACAATATAAATCAATTTAAGATCATCTAATTTTTTTTCATTATACTTATAAAATTCGATTCTATTCAAAATTAATTATTTTAATATTACAATTTCTTAAATTCAGCATCACTATGATCATTATCAAGTAAATGAGAAGCATATCTTTCTGCTACAATTGCAGGCATTAATTCTATATATAATGGATTCAGTTTCTTTTCCCTTCTTATTCTATTTACATTTTCTAATAAATCCCTTTTTACTTTTCTTAAGATCTCATCTGGATCATATTCATCATTTTATTCTCTTCTTCCTGGACTATGTCTTGATTCTTCAGCATTATCTTATTAAAATTAAGATGAACTTCCCATTCCTTAATTCATCTACCTTTAACCTTATTCTTAATCATCAACTTCTTCATCACCTACTTCTTCTTCATCTTCTTCCTCTCCTTAATAATATTAACCTATATTAATATGGATAACTGTTTGTTACCATGCATTGCCAAAAATTATTATTACTATTCTGGTGTCATATTTTCAAAATCAATTTCCTAGTCATCACCTTCCATATCTCCTTCTTAATCTCCTTCTTGCTCATCATAATATTCATCATGATCTTATTCACTCATTTTTATTATTATTTAGATTAATTAATATTATCTTAATTATTTATAAAAATGTCATCAACAGGCAACTTAAATGATAAATTTGATACTAGTTTTGTGTATCTCTTCAAATACATAATTATAGGAGATATGGGTAAAAAATGATGATAATAGTTAAGCTGTTGGTAAGAGTTGCCTATTGATGCAATTTATAGACAAAAGATTCAGATCAAAGCATGATGTCACTATAGGAGTTGAATTTGGAGCTAGAATCATTAGAATTTAAAATGTTGCTATTAAATTGTCTATATGGGACACAGTATCTAAAATATTTTTATTATTGAGGCAGGTTAAGAGTCTTTTCGATCAATTACTAGATCTTATTATCGATCATCTGCTGCTGCTATTATTGTATATGATATAACAAAGTAATCAATCAAGATATATTCTTAATTAGGAGAAACTCTTTTGAAAATGTTGTGAAATGGCTTGATGATGCAAGAGAAAATGGAAATAAGCAAATTACATTCTTATTAATAGGAAATAAAAATGATCTAGAATAAGAGTATATTAATGTTCTTAATATCAAAGACGTCAAGTCTCATTTGAGGAAGCCAAACAATTTGCTTAAGACAATGAAATTGGATTTATGGAAACAAGTGCCAAAACTAATTATAATGTAGACTAAGTATTATTCCATATTAATCCAATTCTATAGATGTTCACTAAATTAGCAGAAATCATTCTATTTAAAATACAAAAAGGAATAATAGACCCTAAAAATGAAGTTAATATCATTACTATTAATAGAGTTTTGGGGTTAGGGTAGGAAGTGAGTATCAAAAGTATCTTGCATCATAATCAAATGATTCTAAATAAGAAGAAAAAGAAAAGAATTAAAAAATAGATCCATAATTAGATGGAAAATATATTTAATTAAATGATCCTGCTGTTGAAACCACAAAACAAAAAAATAAATCTTGTTGTTGAAATTAAGTAATTTAAAAAAAAATATATTTGTTTTATTATATATATATATAATTATCTCAATTGTGAGATTTTTCTGTGTTAATAATTAATTTTCCATCTTCCCAATCACATTCAGTAATAACCCTATCACAAGTAGTAACTTAACCTTTTCCATCTCTCTTATTATTTTTAAAATGACCTTCATATTTGGAACCATCAGGATATGTCATAGTTCCTTAACCTTCCATGATATCATTTTAAAAGTCCCCTTAAATAATAGATATATATAGTACCTTCATAAATAACTCCATCTGATAAAAATAATTTACCTTTTCCATTCATCATACTCTTTTACCATTCACCAATATATTTAGTTCCATCTGGCCATTTGAATGTGCCATGTCCTTCAATTTCTCCATGTACATATTCTCCATTATATTCTGATTTATCAGCAAATATAATGATTCCTTTACCATGTTTTTATCCTCTTTAAAATTCTCCTTCATAGATAGTGCTATCTGGATGTTATTCAATTCCTTTTCCATGTGGCTATCTATTTTAACAATCTCCAGAATATTAGACTCCATTATGATATATTCTTACACCACTATTTTCTAATCCTAACTATAAATATTAATATAATTTTACATATAGATCTTTATTTGGAAAATAAACTGCACCATCTATTAAATCACCATTTTTCCATTGTCCCTCTAAATAAGTTCCATCATTCTTAATCATTTATCCATATCCAAATTATATTCCTTTCAACCATTAACCTTTATATATAGTTCCATCTTTTGTATAGGCAGGTAGCATTCTAAAATCATTTGATACTGATGAATTAATTTTTTAATAGGCAATTTCTGGTAAAGTTGGGATTTTAAATTCTCCATCAAATAAAGTCCAGTCTTTTGGTTTGTCTTCTTCAAGCATTTATCTTTCTTCATTAAGTTTTTGTCTGGCAACTTTATTTCTAAATGCACATTATATTGCTAAAGCACTCTATTCTTCACTTTGTTTTTTTTAAATTGGATCAACAATAGGTTTTTGCTGAGTTTCTGGAACTTTATCTTCTTTTTAAACTTCCTCAATTGGATTTTTAGGTGCAGGTTCTTAACAATTTTTACTTTGTGTAGCTTCTAAACCATTTTTACCTGGACTAATAAGAAGAGCATCATTTTCAATTTTTTATTACTCTTAACAACGATTTCCCATCTGTTAATTAATAGAAATTCAAAATAATTTTCACTTAAATTCATTTCTTGTTTAATATCTTCATATCTTAATAATATTTATTATACTTCTAAAATTATGAATAAAGTAAAGACTCTTTAGAATAAAAGTCTCTAAAAAAATTAACAATATTATAATAACATATTTATATATAATGAATTAAAGGGAGATAGCCAAAGAAGTGTTAGCTGTTTCATTGCATATTGCAGAGGCAGATAAATTTAACTTTGAAGATTCTAAAAAGAGAATGCAATTATTAACAGAATCTGTCTTAAAAACAAGTAGATAATTGACTTAGATGTAGATTTATTGAGATAGAAACCTAATAAAAATTGCAATTAGACTGTTGATCTAGAGTTTTAATAAATTGATAATTTAAAAGATCTGTTACCTCATTTAGCAGAATGCAGCAATTTACGTGAAGTATTATGATAATGCATCAATCAAGTTAATTTTGCATGGTAATCGTTTACATACCTTACCAGAAGATCTTTCAACATTGAGTACTGTAGAAACTTTAGATATTTCAAACAATCTTTTTGATGATGTAATTACTATTAAAATTTATAGATTATTCCTATTATAAATGCTTTGAAAACAATGCCAAAATTGTTACATCTTCATATTGGATTGAAGGATAACAATGAAGAAAAATATGTGATCCAATAGTTACCTAATCTAATAACCCTTAATAATAGAAGACTCAAATTTTTTGATTAATTAGATAGTGATAGACCTTCTGAAAGATAATCTATAAAATCAGAAAAATCATATTAAAGTGAAATCACATTTAATTAGGAAGATGTAGATAATGTGGAAGTACTTCATTATCTTATTAAGTTAAAAGAATCTTTTTAATCAAATTTCTAACATTGAAAATAATTCCAATCTATAAAAAACATACTCTCCTTAATTGGCTGATCATGTCAAAGATGTTATGACTGATTTTTCTACCAAAGTTCAATAAACTCATTCAAAACATTTCCTTGATACACATATACTTAAAGTAATTTTTAATAATTTACTTAGGCAAAATATGATTTATATGAAATCTGTTTTAGAGAATTAATTGACTATTTTCGTAATAATAATAATAAACTTGAATAAGTTTTAAAAACATTATAATAAGAACATTCAAATATTTTTAATGATTTAACTAATATCATATACAATCTAAGAGATTATAAAAAAATCTAAAAAGAAAATCATGAAATTGAATAACTCATTTAAAATAGTGATATAGTCATATCTTAAAATAAAGAGATTTAACTCTACAAAGAAGAACGTGATCGTCTATTAATTGAAAAAAATAAACTTTAATAGTAAAAAGACTAATAATATGAATTACTTCATCCATTATAATTATAAGTTAAAACTTTATAGTCTAATGTTCAATTATTGGAATAAGAAAAGGAAAATTTGAATAATATCATTTCTTAATTAGAATATTAATTTGCTTATTAATAATAATAATAGAGATCTCAAAGAGATAGTTCCAAATAAATTTAATCAGCGAATTAATCATTTTAAGATATTCAATCCTTTTCTAATTTTTAAACTCAATAAGTAGTAATGCTTGTTAAAGGAACTCAGACTGATAATCAAAGATTTTTTGAAAAAGAAAGTCAAACTAATGATTAAGAAGATAATGTAAACTTTACAAAATCTATTGATATGCAATCATTTTAATAAGAAATTGAAGATTTATAATGTTAAAATGAATAACTTTAATAAGAAAATAAAAAATACTTAGAAATGATAATTAGAAGATCAAAAGTAGAAAAATCTTCTAATATCATGTCTGAAATCAGTTATAAATAAAATGAAAGTCCAAGCATCATTGAAAAAAAGAGAAACAAAACATTATCAGAATTTCATTTACTAGTTTAACCCTAATCATTTAGACCATTAACTTTAAAATAACTTAAAGATATCATTCAAGATATTTATGAAAGCAAATCTAAACATGATATCAGATAATATGAAAATAAAATGCCTCTAGAAACAATTGAACAGCATATGTACACATATTTATATTGTAAATATGGATTAAAAGTATTTTATATCTATTATCAATAGAATTTAGCTTTGGAATGGGTAGCTTGTATAATTAATGCAATCTAAAAATATATTACTGAAGACAATGATGTTGCTGTATTTGGATTAATACTTAAAAATAATTTAGATGAAGATTTTAGATTATTGCAATCTTAACGTAAATTAAATATTGAACATATTATCTAAGTATATATTTTGATATAAAATCTTAGACTATTTTATAAGCAAAGTATAAAACTAAGCATGTCTTAGAAATTAAAGAAATAGTTAAACAAAAAGTAGCAGGATAAATAACTCATTAAGAAGCAATTGATATTTTGAAAAGTTGTCTTTAGGAAGAGGAAAAAGAAATTATACTTAGCTAATTAAAGATGCATTAAATTAAATCTGTATCTAGTGTAAGTCCAATAAAAAAAGTCAATTAAAAAGAACAAAGAAGATCAAGTACTTAAAAAGAACCCATAAAATATGAATTTTCTGTCTTTATCAAACTAATTCTTGAATACCTTATGAGTCTTTATCAATAATACTTAGCTAATTTTTGTATTGTATTTAAATCAGTTGATCATGATAAAGATGGAATTCTGAATCAAGTATTTATTATGTTTAATTGTTTAAAGTAATAATTTTTTAAATTGACAGAAAGTATTAAACCTAGTTTACAAAAGGAAGAATATTCAAAAATATATGAAATGCTAGATCCATTTTAAAATGATAAAATAACATTTTCATAAATTGTAAGAGTTTTCAAAAATCCATAATT